GCTTTGTTATTGTTGTTGCTGCTGCTACTTCTGCTTCGTTATTGTTGTTGCTGCTGCTACTGCTGCTTTGTTATTGTTGTTGCTGCTGCTACTTCTGCTTTGTTATTGTTGTTGCTGCTGCTACTGCCGCTTTGTTATTGTTGTTGCTGCTGCTACTGCTGCTTCGTTATTGTTGTTGCTGCTGCTACTGCTGCTTTGTCATTGTTGTTGCTGCTGCTACTGCTGCTTTGTTATTGTTGTTGCTGCTGCTACTGCTGCTTTGTTATTGCTGTTGCTGCTGCTACTGCTGCCTTGTTATTGTTGCTGCTGCTACTGCTGCTTTGTTATTGTTGCTGCTGCTGCTACTTCTGCTTTGTTATTGTTGTTGCTGCTGCTACTGCTGCTTTGTTATTGTTGCTTTTTAGTTGCTGTTGCTGCGAACAAATGTGCATCTCTTTTCAAAAAAAGCGGCCTCAATGGGAGTTTCTGCGTCTCTGTGGTGGCTGCGACGAATGCAGGCTGCAACAGCGTGCTCGCTGTCTCTGCAGCAGGAGCCCTCGATTTCCGCCGAGGAGTTGCAGTTGCTGCAGCAGCAGTTGAATAGCAGCAGCAAGGTGCAGTCGCTGCTGTCTGCAGACGCGAATGACGATGTGAAGGCGGAGTGCTGCAACTTGCTGCAGCAGGTGCTGCCTCTGCTGCTGCGGCGGAGCAGCAGCAGCAGGAGCGACTCGCAGCAGCAGCAGCAGCTGCTGCTGCTGCAGCAAGGCATCCTCAAGCTGCTTGAAGGCGTCTTTAGCAGCACTGCTCATAAGAAGGGGGCAGTGTCTGCCGAGCAGCAGCTGTTGCTCGCAGCAGCGCAGCACACTCTTGAAAAGATCGTCGTGGCTGCTGCAGCCTCCGCAGAAGGCGCTACGGCAGCAGACACGCAGCAGCGTTTGCACGCAACGCAGCAGCTGCTGCTGCCGCTGCTGAGTGCATGCAGCACGCGTGCAGCTCTCCGCGCAGCGTCTCTTAGGGCATGGTGCCTCTGTTTGCTGCTGGAGCAGCTGCCCATGGCAGCAGCACCCTCCGTAGCAGCAAAGCTGCAGCTGTCGGATGCAAAGACACCAGGGCTTGCAGCAGCAGCAGCGCTGTGGCTGGAGGAGGGGGCGTGTTTTGCTGCCGTCAATCCCAAGGTAAGACACACGTAAGAGGCACACACACGTGTAAAGACCTCTTTTTTCCTCCTCCTCTCCTTCCCACTTCTCTCCTTCCCGGATTCACTTGTCTCTTCCGCGGCTTGAAGGCGTTCCCTCGATTTTTAGAGCGACGCGCTGGTGGCGGCTTGCGTGCGTGCGCAGCACACGCGGGAGGAGCTGCTGCTGCAGCTCCGGGTGTATGGACAGCTGCTTGTGCGGCAGCAGCAGCAGCTCCTTGGCGGCTTTCAGCTGACAGCTCCCCATCCTTGCTGCAGCAAGGACGGGGAGCTGTGCGACGCAGCGTGGCGTGTTGCGTGCAGCGTTGCTGCCGCTGCTGCTGCGCCACACAAACAGCAGCAACCGCAACGCCAGCAAGGCGACTTACAGCCCTCTTTCTACATGGGCTTGATGCGCGTGCTCTGTCTGTTGCAACAGTTTCGTGTGTCTCCCGCTGCAGCAGCAACAGTGGAGGGGTCCCCTGCAGCAGTAGGGCAGAGTGCGGGGGTGACACCGGAGGAAAGCTACACTGCTGGCTTGCGTCTCGTGCGGCAAGCAGCAGCAGCAGATGCCGCAGTCGCAGCGCAACTCGTCCTGTGTTTCTTCCAGCTCCTGTGCGAGCTGTCTGCTGCGCAAGGCGCTGCGTGCACGAAGGCAGGCACGGGTGACTGCGAGCAGCGCAAGGCGGCGCCTCTGCATGCAGCGCAGGCGGCAGCAAAGGCGGAGTGGACTGCTGCAGTCAGCAGCAGCATGCTGCAGTCGCTCTTCCAGCAACTGCTGCGGCTGCTAGTCGCCTCAGTACCCCGTAGCGACAGCAGCAGCAGCAGCAAAAGCAGCAGCAGCAGCAGCACAGACGCACTGCTGCCTCCTGCTAGGCCGGGTATGTTCGCGCTGCTGCTGCTCTGTGCTGCTCACCCCCAAATGCGCGCACCAGAAAGCAGCGCCTCGCCTCTTTGTAGATCTGTGCTGCTGCTGCTTTCCAAGCGTACCAGGAGCAGCAGCAGCAGCAGCAGCCTGGTGGACTGGCAGCAGCTGCTGCGGCTGCTGCCGCTTTCTGCTTCCGTAGGCGCGGATGACGAGGCGGGATGCGATTTCAGTGGCGTTGCACGGACGTGCGATGCACTTGCCGTGGCACTCGGATGCTTTCTCGAGGAGCAGCAGGAGAGCGTTCATGTGGAGGAACGGAGGATGCAGAGATCCTACGGCAGCAGGAGATGGCGAGCCGCTCTCAAAGGACTAAGCAGCAGCAGCATCGACTGCTGCTGCGCGCTCGTGCAGCAGCTGCCTGCAGCCGAGGTAGCTGCATGCGCGCCAGCCACAGCGGCTATGTTCTATGCGCCTAACGACGTGCTGTATGTTGCGGAGGGTGTGTATTTGCCGTCTTTGAGCGCGCCAACGGCCGTGTCTGCAGCGCATCCTAGTGGCAACAACAGCAACAGCAGCAGAAGCAGCAGCAGCAGCAGCAGCAGCAGCACGAGGGGTTCTGCAGCTGCTAGCCGATCGGCGGCTGCGCCGCATGCGAAGGGGAGTGGTGCAGCAGTAGCGAAGAGCCAGAAGGGTCTTACACGGGAGCAGCTGCAGCAGGAGGAGCTGAAGCAGCAGCAGCAGAAGCGGAAGCAGCTGCTGCGCATGCAGCAAAGGTGCAGCAGAGTGCTGCTGCAGCTGGGGAGTCTCTTGGCGGGGGGAGGGCTCTCCGCAGCGGAGATTCTTCTGTCTTCTCCGAGCGCGGCAGTTGGCGATGGCGATGGAGCTCTTGGAGGCAATGTTGGTCGTGGCTGCGTCGACAGGAGCTCGACAGGAGGTGTGCAGCTCTTGCCCACGCTGCAGTCGATGCTAGGATGCAGCATTACGTGCAGCAGCGCCTTGGGGTGTCTGCGACAGCTGGTGAAGGCTGCAGTGTCTGCGGAGGTGCTGCCCTCTCGAGGACTGCTTGCGGATGCGTTGCTGCTCGTACAGCTCGACAGAGAAGTTTCTGGAGTAGCCGAGGAGGTGTTGTCGACGGGCAGAGGCGACAAGAAGGCGCTTTCGAAGCCAGCGACGCAGCTGGTGCTGCCTCTGGTGTCTGCAGTGCTGTTACGAGCAGATGCTGCGGCTGCGCAGGCGTGCAAGCAAGCCCTCCTGCTGCTGCTGCAGCAGCTGCGACTGCATGCGCGGCTCGATCCTGCTGCCACCATGGCGTGTCTCGCTGCAGTGCTGAAGGCGCATGCAAGCCTTGTTGGGCTGGGAACTGAGGCTTTGTGCCTCGCCGCAGATCACTTGCTGGAGCAGCAGCAGCTGCAGCAGCTGATTCTGCTGGCTGCGACTGACAGCTTCCCCACCAGGAGGGCAGTCGCTGCTGCGCTGCAGCGCTTTCCTCTGGATCGCCTCGGCCAGACTGCTCCTTTGCTCGTGGCGAGTCTGCTGGCTTTGCAGCAAGACAAAGGGGGAGACATGGAAGTTGCGCGGCTTGCCTCGCAGCTGCTCGAAAGGCTGCCGTCAGACATAAAGGGAGACTCGCGGCGGCAGCTGGAAGACCTCTCGCAGCTCCTCGCGAGCCCTTCTACGACTTTCACGGAGATGGTAAGACGCCGTTAATTTATTCTTCCCTGTGGCTAGACGGACTGCTGCCAGGCTGCTGCCAGGCTGCCGCTAGGCTGCTGCCAGGCTGCTGCCAGGCTGCTGCTTCTTGCAAATTGGCTTTGCTCGCGTCTGCGTCTTTGGGTGTCTCGATTTTGTCTCCTGCCTCGTTTAGGAAAGGGGGGCGTAGAGACAGGAGTTCGGCTGCTAACGGCGCTGCGCCAGCTGTTTCGAGCTGCTTGCTTGTCTGCCTGTTTTTTTGTGCTGCTGTCGCTGCGTGCTGCAGGCAGCAGAAGCCTTCGCAGCGGCAGTGCAGTCTGAAGGCGGCAGAGCTTCAGCGGTGTCTGCAGCTCTGCAGTTGCTGCTGGATTTATTCTCTGGTCGACGCGCGTTGAGAGGTCCCTATGCCTCGCCAATACAGCAGCAGCAGCAGCAGCAACAGCAACAACAACAACAAGGCGTCGTGTACAAGAAAAAGGAGTTGGATGCCACGAGTTTCTTCGGAGGCGCTGCTGCTGCAAAAGGGAAGGGCAGAGGGAAAGCAGCTTCCGCTGCTGCTGCTGCAGCCGAAGAAGAAGGGCCTTCACCGCTGCTGCAGCAGCAGCAGCAGCAGCAGCAGCAGCAGCAGCTGAGGACGGGGTCGGCTTTAGCTCTTCTGCACGGCATAGCTGCTGCCTTGCGTTGCTGCGCAGAGCGGCGCTTGCTGCAGACGGGGGAGGCGTTGCTGCAGTTGCTGCAGTTTCTGCTGCAGGATGCACTTGTGTCTCCCGACGTTCTTGCTAATCCGTTGCTGCAGCAGCAGCTGCTGGCAGCGGGAGTGGCTGCAATTCGGGGGGCAGAGGGGGAAGATCTGCGGCGTGAGATTTTCAAGTGTCTCGACAGCTGCTGCACCCCTGGCGCAGTCGGCGGCAGCGGCGGCGGGGAGGCGGCAGCAGCAGCAGTGCATGCGGCGCATGCGTTGTTTTGTGGATCTCTGGCTGAAAAGATGCAGACAGGAGACTCCTTGATCCCCCTGATTGTGCAGCGTCTCGAAGCCTCCTTGATGTCTCCGAGCGCGCCTTCTGCGGAGGTGCAGCGGCTGCTCTCTCGCCCTCTGACTCCCCTGATCAAGCTGCTGGCGGCTTCCGAGAGCAGCGCCTCCCCGTCTGCTGCGCAGTCGCAGGAGAACCCTCCGCAGACTGCCGCTGCTGAGGAGACGGCGGGAGAGCCGCGGCAGCAGAGCGCCTCGCGCCAGCTGGTGGAGCGCTGTCTAGCGGCATCCCTGAAAGCTGCCGATTTGCCAGTGCGACGGGGAGGAGCCTTGGGGCTTGCAGCATGCATCAAGGGTTTGGGAGTGATTTCTCTGCGGCGAGAGGATGTGTTGGCGCGTTTGCAGGCGGCTTTGTCTGCAAAGGATAGCGTTGGTCGTCAGGGAGCCTTGCTGTGTGTCGAGGCGCTCAGCGAGTGTCTGGGGAGACTCTTCGAGCCTTACACGCTGCACATCCTGGGGCTGTTGCTGTCGTGTTTGTCGGATGCCTCGCTGCCAGTGAGAGCGGCTGGGCAGATGGCTGCTCGGCAGCTCATGAAGCACTTGAGCAGTCACGGCATTCGTCTGGTGCTGCCTACCCTCACGGAGAAGCTGCAGGATCCTCACTGGCGAGTGAAGGTCGGCAGCATCGAGTTGCTGGCTGCGATGGCGCACTGCGCTCCCAAGCAGCTCGGCAGCTGCGTCAACAAGGTGGTGCCTCTGCTGACTGATGCCGCTAGCGACGCGTGCTGCATGCAGCAGGTTCGCGGAGCAGCGGTTCAAGCGCTGTACGCCATTGGAGCGGCTGTCGAGGCTCCCGAGCTGCAAAGCGTCGTGCCGCTGCTGGTGACAGCCCTAGCAGACCCCTCCGCAGACACCACGCGGGAGGCGCTCGACGGCTTGCTAGCCGTCGAGTGCTCCAGCTTCTCGGATGCAGCTGCGCTCTCGCTCTGCGTTCCCGTGCTGACGCGCGGTATGAACGAGCGCAGCACGGAGCTGAAGCGCAAGGCTGCAGATCTCATCGGCTCGCTAGGTCTCCTCTGCTGCCACGCCCAACAGCAGAAGAGCCACAATGCGAATCACAACGCCGCGCTGCTTCCGTATCTGCCTCAGCTGCTGCCCCCTCTGCGCCAGGCACTGGGCGACCCCATCCCAGCTGTACGAACAGCAGCGGCGAGGGCTTGCGGAGCGATTGCGCGCAGCGTCGAGGAGTCTGAGCTGGCGGAGCTGCTTCGCTGGCTCCTAGACACGCTCGCGAAGAGCGAGAGCAGCGTCGAACGCAGCGGAGCAGCGAACGGGCTCGCCGAGCTGCTCGTCGCGTGGGGTAGTGCGCGGCTGCAGCAGCTGCTGCCGCAGCTGCTGCAGCAAGCCGCGGATGTGCATGCACCCGCCGGATCTCGCGAAGGCTTTCTAGGGCTCTTCGTCTTCCTGCCGATCGCCTTCGGCAAGGCGTTTCAGGATTTCGTGCCTGACGTCATGCCCGTCGTGCTCTCCGGCTTGTCTGCAGAGCAGGAGGCAGTTCGCGAGGTGGCTCTGCGAGCAGCAGAAGTCATCGTCTTGCAGTTCGCAGCTACCCACACTGCGCTGCTCCTGCGCCCTCTCGAGGACGGACTGTACGCTGCGGACTGGCGCATTCGATGCAGCAGCACGCAGCTGCTTGGCTTGCTGCTGCAGCGGCTGCTGCAAGGCTTCGAGGACGAAGGTGCTTCCGAAGAAGCCACGACGACCATGCACAACGAAATCCTCTCGATCGAGCGCAGAAGCTTCATTCTCGCCTCCTTGTTCTGCGTGCGAAGCGACGATAATCCTGCCGTCCGACAAACCGCTGCTAGCGCCTGGAAGAGGGTCGTTGCGAACACCCCCAAGACACTCAAAGAGATCCTCCCCATCCTCACGCGAAGGCTCATCACGAACCTCGCTGTACCCGCTGCCCTCAAACAGCAACAACAAAAACAAAGAGCCGCTGCGCGCTGCATCGGAGCCTTGGCTCAAAAAATGGGAGATGAAGTCTTGCCACAACTGCTACCCCACCTAGAACAAGTGCGCCAAAGGGGGGGCACACAGTCGTAAAAGGATTCAAACATTTCTTCTTCGTACATTTATGCTCGATACTTCGTATATATGGGTGGTCGTATTGATGTTTGTATGGCTTTGGATGTGTGTCTTTGGATGTATGTGTGTTTATGTATGTCTTTGTATGTGTGTGTGTTTATGTATGTCTTTGTATGTGTGTGTGTTTGTATGTCTTCGTATGTGTGTGTGTTTATGTGTGTGTTTGTATGTGTGTGTGTTTATGTATGTATTGGTGTATGTGTGTTTGTATGTCTTTGTATGTGTGTGTGTTTGTATGTCTTTGTATGTGTGTGTGTTTGTATGTCTTGGTATGTGTGTGTGTTTATGTGTGTATTTGTATGTATGTGTGTTTGTATGTCTTTGTATGTATGTGTGTTTGTATGTCTTTGTATGCATGGACATGTGTGTGTATGTGTGTGTGTATGTGTATGTATGTATGCATGCATGCACATGTGTGTGTATGTATGTATGTATGCATGCACATGTGTATGCGTATATATATGTATATATGTATTTCTTTGCAGTTCTGTGTATTTTTATGTGCTGCTGTTGTTGCTGCTTGTGTCTGCTGCAGTCCGCGTGTGCGACGGATCCATCGATTCGTCGAGGTGTATGCTTAGGGTTGATGGAGATTTTTCGGAGTGGAAGTCGCTCTGCACTTGCGTCGAATGTCGACACGCTGCTTGCGCTGTTGAGACGCGCCTTGCAAGACACAGACAGCTCTGTGCAGCAGGCTGCTGCCTCCGCTGCCGCTGTGTGTCTGGACGTCTTGGCAGGGGAAGCCTCAGGAAAGCTTATTCCCCCGCTGCTGCAGCAGCTGCTTCGACCGCCACAACTCTCGCGAAAAGACGCATCCGCAGGCAGTGCTGCTGCAGGAAAAGCTGCACTTTTGCAAGCTATTGAACTGCTGCTGCGGGAGCAGCCGCAGGCAGTTTTACCTCAAGTGCTGCAACAGGCAGCGATTCCGCAGCAAGACGGTGCAACAGCTTCTCTTCTCGGCGCTGTCGCTGCTGTCGATCCTCCCCGACTTGCGCGCAGCATCCCAAGGATTTTCGCTGCGCTTCTTGCTGGGCTATGCCAAACAGGTGCGCACACACTGCTCTTGACACACTGTGCAAACGCTGCAATTCTCACGCACAGTAGGAGGGATGAAAGGTCGCCAAGATCGCCTTCTGTGCCTCAGGCTCACGATTCCAATGGGCTTTCTAGAGGCGTCTATAAATGCATGTGCAATGCGTATTCATATATACATGTATAAATGTATATATATATATATATATATATATGTATGTATATATATGCATATATACATATATGCATGCAGACACCCGCCTATATATATATGTATGTATATGTATACACATATACATGTACATGCGGCTTCTGTGTGTGGCATTAGGAGGCGTTGAGGATGATGGCTTTGTTGCCGAGCAGTGCCTACGTTCAGCACTGCGCTTAGTTCAACGCATGGATGGTGAAGGGTTAGATGTGCTATTCGAGATGCTGCAGCAGCAGATGAAGGCAGCAGCACCCGTCTGCGAAGTGTCTGCATCTGGCCGCTTGCAGCTGTTGCAGCAAAAATCTGCCGCTGATCTTGCTGCTGCTGCTGCTTCTGCTCGGCAGCGCACTCCAGCAAGCATCAACGGATCTGCCACTGCCACTGCTGCTGCTGTACGTACACCTGACGACCCACTTACACCGGACCTTTTCCTCGAGCCACAGCAGCTGCGCTGCAACAAGACTTTTATGTCTTTTTCCGAGACTTCAGCAGCCAATCCAAGGAAGCGAGAAGCTTGCTGTTGCATCCTTTTCGTCATCTGCTGCTCTCGGACTGCTGGCGAGCTTGAACACCACATGCAGCAGCTGCTGCAGATGCTGCTGCCTGTGGCACTGGCAGATCCTTCTGCTGCAGCTGCAGCTGTCGCAACAGCATCCCTTAGCACGCTGCTGAATCCTCTCACAAGAGATGCTCTGGATCCTCTTATTCCCTTGGTAAGCGACAGGGATCCTGCTCTTGCTACACGCATATCGTTGCTGCTGCTGCTGCTCTTGCTGTACAGCTGTTGTTGCTGCTGCTACTGCCGCTTCTCTTGCTACACGCATATTGTTGCTGCTGCCGCTGCTCTTGCTACACGCATATTGTTGTTGCTGCTGCTGCTCTTGCTGTACGCCTACCGTTTTCCTTCTTGAGAGGAAGCCTTCTTACTGAGGCGGTGTCTGGGCAGCCCTTGTTGTAATTCTGATTTGCACTTGGCTTGCGATCAAACAAGGAGGCTCACAATACTCCCGATTGCTGCTTTTCTGCTTTTTTTTCAGCTGTATCAAGGACTGTTTCGCCTCGTTGCAGATCCTTTAACGAATCGTCCGGTTGGAGGCGACGTGTTGCTGCTCCCCGGGCTGTGCAGCAGCAGCAGCAGCAGCAGCAGCAGCACGAGCTTTCTTTTGCAGTGCTGTCTTCATGAAGGCGTCTTGCCGTCCTCTACTGCCTCCGGCAGCAGTCTCGCAGCAGCGAGCAGCAGCAGCTGCAGCAGCTGCGTCACGAACGCCTTTCTTGCAGGCTGTCTTGCCCTCAATCCCAAGACTCGCGAGATTGCCGCTCGCGGCTTAGAGCTGCTGCTGCTGCATGCAGAGCCTCAGCATTTAAAGCCTCTCGGCATTAAGATCACAGGACCGCTAATTCGGTGTATAGGAGACAAGCTTCCAGTACGAGTGAAGGCTGCGTTGCTGCGAGCTCTCCGGTAGGCGATATGTGGCGTGAAAAATAAAATAACAGTGGCGTGCTGTGCATGCGTCTGACAGTCCTTCATGTGCTGCAAAACATGCTGTGGGTGTCGTCGAGCGCACATATATACACACAAACACAACACAAACACATACACACAAACACAACACAAACACAAACGTACACACACGAAGCTTAGACAGACAGCAGCGAGAAAGAGGGAGAAAAAAAACTCTCTCAGAGCAGGTCGCCTTTGAATGCCGTTGCGGTGCTTCTTTTGTCGGCATTTTGAAAGGCGCTGCTGCTGCTGCTGCTGCTGCTGCTGCTGCTGCTATATATGTGCGTGTATGTGTATGTATCTCTGTGTATGTGTGTGTCTCTCTGTGTATCTGCGTATGTATGTGTATGTGTCTGTATCTCTGTGTGTATCTGTGTGTGTATCTGTGTATCTCTGTGTGTATCTGTGTGTATGTGTATGTGTATATGTGTGTATCTGTGTGTATGTGTATGTGTACGTGTGTCTCTGTGTATGTATCTGTGTTCGTAATTATCTCTGTGTATGTATCTCTGTGTGTATGGATCTCTGTGTATCTCTGTGTCTGTATCTCTGTGTGTAATTATCTCCCTGTAATAATCTGTGTGTATGTACCTCTGTGTGTAATTATCTCTGTAATTATCTGTGTGTATGTATCTCTGTGTGTAATTATCTCTCTGTGTAACTATCTCCCTGTGTAATTATCTCTCTGTGTAATTATCTTTCTGTGTAATTATCTCTGTAATGATCTCTGCGTGTAATTATCTCTGCGTGTAGTTGTCTCTGCGTGTAATTATCTCTGTGTGTAATTATCTCTGTGTGTAATTATCTCTGCGTGTAATTATCTCTGCATGTAATTATATGTGTAATTATCTCTGTGTGTAATTATCTCTCTGTGTAACTATCTCCCTGTGTAATTATCTCTCTGTGTAATTATCTTTCTGTGTAATTATCTCTTTAATGATCTCTGCGTGTAATTATCTCTGTAATTATCTCTGCGTGTAATTATCTCTGCGTGTAATTATTACTGCATGTAATTATATCTGTAACTATCTCTGTAATTATCTCTCTCTGCGTGTAATTATCTCTCTCTGCGTGTAATTGTCTCTCTCTGCGTGTAATTGTCTCTCTCTGCGTGTGATTATCTCTGCCTCTGCAGTGCTCTCCTACAGCGTGCTGGTTCCCACGTGAAAGCCTTGTTGCCGCAGCTGCAAGCCACGCTGCTCAAGTGTCTCGCAGCAGCTGCAGCAGCAGGCACGGGCAGTACAGCTGCTGCACTTTGCCGCTGCTGTCTTGGACTGGTGGCTTCGCTGCATACACGAGGGCGCGTTGATGCGCTTTTGGGAGAACTTGCCCTGTCCATACACCCGACGGCGAACACTGCTGCTGCTGCTGCTGCTGCGGGAGTCACTGCCATATCTCCCCTGGTGTCTTTGCAGGTGAGTTCTTCTCTTGCTGCTGCTGCTGCTGCGCTGCTATTAGTTGTGCTGACACTTCGGCTCGATGCGTGTGTGTTTCTACGTGTGAAGGCTTGTGGGTGACTGCCGTCTGCTGCTGCTCAAGCCTCACCTGCGGGAAAGCTTGTTGCTGCTGACTCTGCTGCTCTGGTGTCTTTGCAGGTAGTTCAACACGTTCTCCTCAACGCCAAAGAGCCAATCGAAGATGCAGCGCTGCAGAAGGAGGTAGCAGCTGCTTGCTGGGCTGCTGCTGCTGCAGCAAGAGACGAGCAGCAGCAAATCGTTGCCTGCGCAGTCCTCGGAAGCCTCTTGGCACCAGCTGTACAGACACCTCAAGTGCAGCAGCTCTTGCAGGAGTTCATTGTCGATGCTGCTTCAGACTTCCAGACCGAAACAAGGAAGGTAGGAGGTTCTTGTTGCTCCCATTGAGGGCAGTATTGTTATTGCTGTTGTTGTTATTGTTATTGTTGTTGTCGCTATTGTTGTTGTTATTGTTGTTGCTTTTGTTGTTGTTACTGCTGTTGTTATTGTTGGTGTTAGTGTTGGTGTTAGTGTTGTTGTTATTGTTGTTGTTATTGCTGTTGTTATTGCTGCTGTTATTGCTGTTGTTGTTATTGTTGCCGCATTTGCAGAAAACACCCTGCGGTGTTGCTCATGCTGATGTGTGTCTTTATCTGTCTGTGTGTCGATCTGTCTCTCTATGTGTCTCTCTATGTGCCTCTCTGTGTGTCTCTCTGTCTGTCTATCTGTCTGTCCTTTCGCGCTGATTTTAATGTGGTGTAAATGCTCTAATTGTCTGCTGTGTGCAGAGCGCCTGTCTACTTTTAGCCAGCTTGTTGCGCGTCGGAAGTCAGGAGCAGCTGCTGCAATATCCATTGCTGCAGCAGCCAGAGCAAATGCAGGCACTGTTGCAGCAGCTGTTAGAAGATCGTGCTGCTGCGGTGCAGGCAGCGGCGCTTCAGGCGTATAAACACCTCGTGCGGCAGTCAAAGTAGGGCTTACCGTGTTTAGGGAGGATGGTGTGGTTTTCGAGGTGTATGGTTCGAGGAAAAGAGAGATAGCCAGCTGTGCAATCCATGTTCACGTGCAGCTCATCCTCCCTCTATTTTTCACCCCTCTTTGTTTTAACTGCCCTGCAAGTCAGCATCCTCTTGGCTGTAAAACGGTGGAAGTGACGACGGCTTTCTTTTGTTCAATAGGCATGCGCCTTTTTTGTATGTGTGCATGTATATGTGTATGTCTTGTCTATGTGTTTTTTGCACATGCATGTATATGTGTATGTCTTGTCTATGTGTTTTTTGCATACGTATGTATATGTGTATGTCTTGTCTATGTGTTTTTTGCACATGTATGTATATGTGTATGTCTTGTCTTTGTGGTTTCGCACATGTATGTATATGTGTATTTCTTGTCTATGTGTTTTTTGCATATGTATATGTGTATTTCTTGTCTATGTGTTGTTTGCATATGCATGTATATGTGTATGTCTCGTCTATGTGTTTTTTGCACATGTATGTATATGCGTGTCGTGTGTATGTGTTTTTTGCATATATATATACATATGTATATACATATGTATATGTATATTTGTATGTCTTGTGTATGTGCACGTGTGTCTTGTACATATATGTGTATATATACGTATGTATACATGCATCTACATGCACATCTGTGTATATTAAGTCTACATGTTTGGCGTTTTTATTGCAGGGGTCAGCAGCAGCAGCTTACCGTGTGCTGGGGCTTGTTGCCCACCGTGCATGCAGCAGTGACGACTGCAGCAACAGCAGCTGCTCAAGGCGCAGGAGATTGGAAGCCTATTGGGGAGGCTTTGGTTGCAGCGAAGTGGCTGTGTAGGATGTCTGCTCAATTCCTGCACCCCCCGAATACGGCAACTGCCGCGTCTGCTGCGGCGCAGATTTGTGAACTTGCGTTTGCGCATCTCTTTTCAACAAATCCTGTTGTCAAGCTGCAGGCAAGTGTAGGGGGAGCGCTGCAGCGGGGGAAATGTGCATGCTTATCTGTTAGCTGCTGAGGCTGTCGCTGCAGAGGGGGAGAAGCGTGGCGTGCAGCGATCGGAGCGCAGCTAACAAGTTCTCGCGGGCAGTCGGTTTACTGCGTTTTTGCACTGTAGTGTCTTGTCAGCGGCTCATAAGACGCCTCAAAGCCTATTGAACACTGCTGTCAGCCGATTTGTGCACTGTTTTGCAGGCAGAGCAGCTGCTGCTGCAGCTGCTGCGTGTGCGCGCCGGCAGCGGGGGGGTGACAGAAGCAGCTGCCAACTCGCTGCTCGCGGATTTGGAAGGCTGCAGCAGCAGCAGCACACTAACAGGACGTCGGCTGCAGCAGCTGGGAGACTATTTCTTTCGTGTACTGCTGCGGGTGCATGCAGAGGCAGCTGCAGCACAAGACGCGGAGGGCTTTGATAGCTCTGCCGAAGACGCAGCGCCAGCCTCGGCGCTGCAGCTAGAAGCAGAGCTCGCCGAAGAAAACTGGGAGCTTGTTGTCTGAGCTAACCAACCGGCAGGCTTGCAAAACTCGAGAATGGAGGGGGGAAAGGGTAGTGGCGACTGCGACATGGGCTAAGGCTGTCTTGAGCGGCTCCTGCAGTTGTGGCCTCTCCAAAATGCAGCCGCTGGTGTTTCACATTTGCAGCTTCTGCGTGTTCTCCGCAAGTCGCAGCAGCAGCAGTGGCTAGATCTGCTGCTGCTACTGCTTTTGCTCGTGGAACGAATGCAGCGGCAGAGAAGGGACTGGATCTGCTGCTGTGGCGTGTCTTCACGCAACCCACTCACGTACCGGCGTTGTGTCTTTTTTTTGGAGCATGGTCTGCCCCTGTCCATAAATATATATATATATATATAAATATATAATAAATATATAATAAATATATATAGATAGATATATAGAGATATCGGGCTGTCTCTCGCCAAGGAAACCCTTCGTGGGGTGTGTCTGTGCAGCTAGCTGGTCTAGCCGCTGCGTTTCCTACGTTTGCCTGAGCTGAGGCTTGTGTTGCTTGACGCGCGCTGTTGGTATACGAAGCATGTGGGCGCGAGACTCCGTGTGTCTCGTGCAGTCTCTGCACCCTTGCCAGCAGCAGCAGTGCGAATACACTGGGGAGACGCTGCCTCATCAGCAAGGTGCCCTTCCCTTCAGGTAGGCGGTTCTTGGCAGTGTGGAAATAGCGAGACTTCCCCTCGAAGTGTTAAGCAGCGACTAGCCAAGCTCCACAACCCTCGTTCAGCAGCAGCAAGGCCGTCCTAGATAGGCTGAGATGCGCTACTCCAACTGCAGCCAGCTAGCGAGAACCTTCCTTCCTTCCCTCCCCCGTGCCACCGCGTCGCTCCCAAGCTCGTTTAGCTGCTACCAGTGCCTCCCTCTAACAGCAGTAGTAGTTCACGCCCATTGAGCCGGAGGCAACCTTTCCCCAGCAGCAGGCAGCAGCAGCAGCCGGGCAAGCAAAATGCATGCGTGAGAAAACCCGTCTGTCAAGCAGCAGCAGCGGCTACGCAAAACGCGCGCGAAAAATGACGGAGCAACGCTGCCTTCTTGCGCCTCTGTGAGCTCCCGTGCATGCATACATGCACACATGCATGCGTGCCTGCTCTCTCTCTACCAAAGCCCCAGCAAAGCGCATGCACACCTACACCACCCACAAACTGTAGCCAGCAAAAAGAAGCCTCTACGGTCCGCTACCATCGCACCGCTGCAAAAAGCCACCGAGTGAGAGACGCGATGTCGCTTTGTCGGCATAGCTAGCCTAGAAGCATGTGTGTAATAAACTCGGCTCTACTCGTCTTCTGGAAGCTCGTCCTTGTCGCCGTCTTCGAAGAGTCTTGGATCTTTCCAGAAAGCCTCGGCTTAGGCAAAAGCACACAAATACAGGCGCAAGCACGGAACCCACATGTACCCACACAGGCATGCACCTGTATATATATATATATATATATATATATATATATATATATATATATATATATACATACATATATATACAACACGCATATGCATATACATACTCGGCGATACATATATGAATCTTTTCCCTCATAAGACACGAAAATATCAACATTTGCCGCCACAGCCAGCGAACACGTGCAAACAACCCCCGAGTTCAGGGCATAACAGGAGGCTTCCTCCACACCTTCACAGACAACAATCAAAAAAAAGCCAGCCTTCACTCGCTCTCACCAGATGCCTCCGCATCATCACCCTCTTCGTCGGCAGCAGCCGAGGCGGCAGCAGCATTTTCGAGGAAAATCTGCCGGCCTGTCTTGACACCTTTCCCAGCTAGCCCTTTCCAAATGTTTTTTTGTTGCATTTCGAGCTGGAAGGCACTTGCCCAAGCCTCGAACTCCTGCTTCGTGCAGCGCTCCTGCAGCGCAACAAATGCATCTCTAAGCGGCAGGGGCAGCTCAAAAATCAACAGCTGACTCCGCGCAAACGCCTTCACCTCCCTCGCTTGCCTCTCTACCGTATTTACAGCTTCTTGCGCGATGCGCCCACCCTCGAACCCCCCTTCTTCTCCTCTGGTACACCCCTCTCCCCCGCTGCATGCACTTCCGCCGCTGCGCCTTCTCCTACTGCGATGCCTCACAGAAGCGGCACAAAGCGTCTTCTCAGATGGACCCCGCCTCCCCTCAACGGAGTTCTCGTTTTCGCTCTGATGAACGCCTGCTGCATCTTCTGAGCGCTTTTCAGAATCATACGCATCTTCCACCTCCTCAGAGCAGCCGACATTCTGCCGACTCATCATTTGATCGTACATGGATTTCGGCGGCGCATTCCTCTCCCGCAGCCACTCCTGCAAACGCAGGCGAATGCGCAAACACACACACACGCACACATGATTTGAGGTGTGTGTACGTACACCGCAACATGGGGATGCAAGTGTATACGGGTAGAGACAGCTACAGATGCGGTCCGCCAGCTCTGCTGTAGCTAGCAGTCGAAATCGCCGACTCGCTGGCTAGCTAGCCAAGTACAGCGCTCGCCAGTTTGCACCGGAAAGCCCTGACGACGCTGGATTGCACACAGGCTGCACAAAACTTGTTAAATCGAAGTGGAAGTCTGAGGTGCATGACCGCCTAGGGTCGGAGTCTATGGCTCCAAACGCACGACTGCAAGTTCTGCAATAGAAAAGAGCATAGGGCTTCTAAGGTTGCGCTGCATATCCAGCTCGATCTCCTTTTTGAGATTGTTCAGCTCCTCCTCTTGAAAGCCTCGCCCTTGAGGACAGACAACACGAATCAAAATTCATTGCCTCAATAGAGAGCGAGAGGGAGACACTCGCTGGCTGGCTGGTCTGCCATGATTCCTCTTTGGAGACTTCAAGACAGACATAGATATGTGTGAATCAGCATATGCGTAAATCCGATTATACACATACCAATGCAAACACATGCGCATAATTTGGACACGTATGGACACACATATGTTCATGCACATTTTGCAGATGGATGCATATGGTAGGTGCGTCTTCATGGGGATACAGCGCCTCGATCGAGGCCATGTCAGACAGTGTCAGAATCTCGACAACGTGAGAGTTGCAGGCTTGTCGGCTCCTGTTGCTCATGAAAAAAAACAACTAGGACACACCAAAAGAAAACCCCATTTCTTCCCTCTCCCTCTTATCTTCTCCCCGTCTTCTCCCTTGAACGAAAAAGCGCGGTTTCCGAGAGTCGTCTATTCCGCGAGCACGTCATTGTGGCATGAAGGAAAACAAAACTTTCTCCGCCTTCTTCCCCTTTCTGGCCCCGGCACGGCCCTTAAGTGTCTAATGCAGAAATACCTAACACGCTTTCTGCAAACAGCCTCTGTGCAGCACGCATTTTTCGCATTTTCAGCAGCTTACAGCTTTCAAAGGACCACTCGGGGAGGGTATCGGGATACTCTGGCGGGAAGCTGAAACGCATTTTCACCATCACGCGATTCTCAGGATCCCCCTCGCCTCGTTCCCCGAAGGGCAGCATTCGAATGACACAGGATGTAGGCGAGAGCTGCAAAAACTCCCCCTCGTGGGGAAGGAGGGCACTTAAGGCTTCCATTTCATCGGCCTGCTCTTGCAGGTTCCCCTGGGAAGACGGCATCGTTAAAAGGCAGGGGCAGTACAACACGTAGCAGAAGATGCAGCAATGGCGTGCGCTGCAGCCAAGCAGCGCTGGCTCGAAAGGAGCACCAAGGTAAAAAAAGCAAGAAAGCTCCAAATTCACGGAAAAACGCGGAGAAAAAAACTCGGTTTGGCCAGTCTATGTATATGCGCAAGGTTCAAGCTGGAACCACATCCATTGACACATCCATATGATGAGCAGGAATGCAAAAAGCGGCCTGGCGAGAGGTTTTGGAAAAAAACAACACGGCCCCTTCAGACGACCGCAGTTGCAGGATACACTCTGCTCGCCGCTTTGAATTTCCCCTTTCTCCGATTTCCTTGCGGATCCGAAAGAACAGCAGCACCTGACGCTAACGTCAGAGCAGCAGCCCGACTAGGCGCTCCGAAGACACCCCAAAGCCTCCAAATCTCTCATTTAATGAGGCGATCAGCCCCTTTGTCCATGGGAATAAGAACCTGCAGAAGATCCGCCCTCCAACGCCCTCCTGCCGACCCTCTCCCGTCCCTCCCGAGATGCATAAATCGATGTACAGATATGCGCCTCGGCAGCAGACCGCGGCAACACACGCGTTTCTGTCGTCTACTTGCCGACAGAAGAACATGTGACAGCCATGAAGAACCGACGGACTCCCAGAGTTTTCTGCACTGTTTTGCGCCGCTGCTGGCTGCCCTGCGTGCCGCAGCGTCGTTCTGCAATCAACCCGACACAGTCTCACCGCGCAAATCCCATGAGCAAAAAGCAGTCATAGGCTTTTGTCAATATAAATGCACAATTGCGGCACTATTTTCCGGCTTGTTCTACCATGCAGCCTCTAGAGCAGCAGCCTTAGCAGCAGCCCTAGCAGGCACAGGTAAGCCGGGGGGGGCCCCCTACCAGCGGAACCCGCAGCAACGGGGGCCCCCCTTCCTGCGTGTGTCTTCCCCGTCCGCCCCTCGCCGTTGCTGCTCCGCGGCTTCCGCAGTGGCCGTGAAAAAATACTTCAGGAGGAGCTTCAACGATTTACTTTTGACCGAACTGCATGCGTGCCTCGCATGAGAGTTCACCACCACTGCACGGCGTGGAAAGACGCAGAAGTCTTCTCTCTCTTCAGAGTGGTGTGTGTCCTTCCAAGAGATCTGCGGTTGCGCGAACTTGAGGGTGAGTGTCTGCACGTTTTGCTTGGACTCTACACCGCATTCAAGTATCTTCTGCCGCAAGGTAGGGGTGCTGGTGAATGCGCCGCTGTTGCAGCCGCTATTGGCGGCACTGTTAAACGCACGCGAGCTTGCCTTTGCAGGGCATCGATACTACCGCAAGGGCAGAAGACGGTTGTTCTGCATGCACATGCACGGTACGAGTGAGAGCACTTGTAGGAGGAGACAAATCGAACCTGAACGGCGAACTGTCTGGCTGGCGTGTCCATTCATTGCAACATCGCGCGGAAAGCCGATTTCAGACCTCCCCTACCTCTCTCGCGCACCGCTGGCTCCGTAGGGGAATGAGTGCGCCGTTGCGAGACAACTCGCTACCCCCACGCTTCCCCGCGCACTCTGGAAGAGAAGACCACTGAGCTCTCTGGTGTATGGACGGCTCTCCGTGAAAGAAGCAACGCCAAAGGGAGGCTAGCAGTAGCAGCATTCTTTGACAAAGACGCCAGGGTGTTGAAGATGTTTCGCACTTCGGAGAACTCGGAGGGCGGCTGTGTAGCTGCTTCCGAGACGTATTTCTGCGAAAGTTTCCACGGGAGCGCTCCAGGAGAGAAGAAGGAGTCTCGGGGGGGGAGAAGCGCGTTCGGCGGGTTGTTAGAGCTTAGCGATAAGCTGCTGCTGCTGCTGCTGCAGTGGTTGTCGCTGCGAGAGCAGCACCAACTGCTGCTACTGTGTCGTGGGGTGTACAGACAGCTCTGCACGGCCCCGTTCGTGCGTACTCTCCACCTTGCCCCCGGAAACAGCCTCGCCTTGCTGCTGCAACACAGCAGCCACCACGCGCTGCAGCAACCAGAGTTGCTGCTCTTGCAGCGACAGCACCAGCAGCTTGAGAAGCTCAAGCTACACTTGCAGCAGCAACAGGAGGCAGTCCAACTGCGACTTTCGCAGTGCCTGCCACACGGGTGCCAGCAGCAACTCGAGCCACGGCAGCCACGAAAGAGGGCGATGGAGGCAAGGGAGGAGGAGGATAGTCTGCATCCATCACAGCAACATATATTGCAGCAACAAGCGCATCCTGACCCCCCCCCTTTCGAAGCCATCTGCCACACGCAAAAGCATAAGGCATGCTGCACGGATGCGCGTTTCGCAGGAGATTCTGCCTCCTCTGGTGGGCAGGAGAAAGCACTAGCAGATGCAACCTCAACAGCAGCAACCTCAGCAGCACCAGCATTCATACGAGGCACGTCTGGATTCGCATGCTCTGATGAAGAGAAAGCGGCGTTGTGCACTCAAGAGGCATCGCAACAGACGCAGGAGGACGGGGAGCACTCTTCCCCGCAGATGCAGCGAGAGCAGCAGCAGGTTGATCTTGAATTCTGCTTGCAGCAGTGCCCCTTGCTGAGTCGCATGCGCGGCTGCGAAACTATAGAGCTCTCCGTCGCTTCTCACCTGCTGCCCTCCCCAATGCTGCTGCTGCTGCTCATCTGCTGCAGCGCTTCCCTGCAGCGCCTCACGATTCGCGGCTACGATGACGGCAGCTTCAGACACCGAAGGCAGTGGCTGCTGGTGCAGCAGCAAAAGCTGCTGCAGCAGGAAGAGGACGAAGACGGGAAGGAGGAGACAACAACGCGCCAGCAGTCGAGCGACGATCAGGTGGGGGCGCAAAAAGCGTCGAATGAAGCGGAGGAAAGAGCAGCACCTGCTCCACCACAGCGCGCTGCATGCAGCAGCAGCAGCAGCAGCAGTGCATGCAGCACGGACAGGGGTGTACAGTGCTTAGCAGCTGGGGGATTACCTGTCGCATGGATTTCGACGCGCTTCTGGATACCAGCAGAGGCTCTCTGCTGGTTGATGCAACGCTGCAGCAACAAACTGCAAAAACTTGCGCTAGATGTTTCGCTGAGGAGAGGATTTGGCGTCTCAGCCTTTGCCCAACTCCATCTCAACGCTCGCATGCTTACTCTAAAAGAGATGCAACTCGTCAATCTTACACGCGACAACTTCAGGTATTACCTTCCTCCCAAAATCTGCAAAGGCTACGCTTTGCCTGCTCTTCTTATGCTCCTGCTTCTTCTTATCTTCCTCCTCCTCCTCCTAATTCTCCCTCTGCTCATCTCTTTCTTTCCTCCTTCTCCTCCGCATTCTTCTCCTTTCCCTTCTTCTTTTTCTCCTTCGCCTTCTTCTTCTTGTACTACTTCTTCTTGTTGTACTACTGCTTCTTCTGCTCCTCCTTATTCTGCTTCATCCTCCTTCTTCTTCTCTTTCTTCTCCTTCCCCTGTAGACTGTCCATTTCCCGTCATCCTGCTGGCTGCGCGACTGACGTGCGTGCACACCTAATTAGCCAGCACTTCGCTTTCTTTCATCTGGCAAAGGTTGGCTAGCCAGCAAGCTATCCGTTCACGGCGATCCTCCTCCCGCATCCTGCCAGCGCGTCCAACACTTGACTGCCTCGAGCGCTTCGCGTAGCCTGGTGACTGCAAGACGACTCGGCTTGGTGTGTTTCTATTCATATGTTTATGATATCTAGAATATATCTGTGTATGTGTTTTTGTGTAGGTGTGAGCCGGAGTGTCATTTCCCGTCGCTAGAGACTCTGAAGCTCCACTGGGCAGACGTATGCCCTCAGCAGCACAAACTCTGGTAAGCAGCGGCAGCACTATAAGGGCGCTAAGAAAAAGCTTCTCCGTATCTGGTACGCAGCACTGTTAGGAGCACTTCGCATTCAGAGCACCTTCTGCGGAGAGCTCTGCAGCGCTTTTTATGGGAATGTGGTGCTGCTGCGGCTTCAGGTGCTTGCTCCGAGGATGTCCACTTCTACGAAGCCTATCTGTGCATGCCGATTGTGACGATGACGAAGTCACGATATCAACTACGCGTCTCTTTGCTGCTGCGCTGCTGCAGCTGCTGCAGCAGCAGCAACAACAAGGCACACAAGTGACGGAGCGAGAGGCTCCAGCAGGTGCTCTGAATCACGATGCCTCTGCAGCAGCAGCAGCTGCTGCTGCTGCAGAGGCAGCAGAGGAAAGGGGTTTCTGCCCCCTGCCTCTGCTGGAGGAGCTGCAGCTGCCGCTGCTCTCGGAATCGACGGTTCCCTTGCTTCGCGCTGCATCTCCCAATCTGCGCGTCCTTCGGCTTGTGCATGCAGATAGCCACAGGTGCAACAAAGCCTGCTTCCTGTAAAAGCCGCTTGAAGCCTTGACTCTAGCCCCATTCATCCTAAATATTCCCCACGCTCGATCATAGACACGCCTTCCTTCCTTCCCTCTACCGTCGCAGGCAGCCACGCGAACGCAGTGTCTATGCCTGTTTCTCCTCCTCAGGACCCACAGAGGCTTGCTGCCTTTGCAGCTCGCCGCACGGCAGTTGCGGCAGCTGCAGCAAATCGTGTTTTTCACACCCGTGGATTTCTTTCCAGGAGGCGTTCTTCCGAGGGAAGGGCGAGTAGCTGCGCTTGACACGGAGAGCGCTGGGGAACATGGATCGACTTCCGCCGCACCTCCAGCAACAGCTGCAGGCGGTATCGCCAGTGAGGATGCAGTGAGGGGGGTATTGTTGATTCAGAGGCCTCCCTCGGAGTTCTTTATTCATTGTAGATAGAGGCAAGGGAGGGAGAGAAAAAGAGAGGAGAGAGAGGGAGGAAAAAGAGAGGAGAGAGAGGGAGAGAAAAAGAGAGGAGAGAGAGGGAGGGAGAGAAAAAGAGAGGAGAGAGGGGGAGAGAAAGAAAGAGATTATGCAAGAGCAAGGGCCGTGTTGAAGCTCTAAGCATCCCTGCTCGTGCTGGACGGGGTGGTGACGCTACGGTACGGGTTTGCAGTGCAGCACTTATAGCGTTGGAAGAGGATTTTTCGGTCCTTGAACGTGATGCGACTGTATTTACGCTGGCGATGTGCAAGTTTGCACTTAAGCGACCCTGGACTAGGCTTTAGGTCGCCTCCGTGCGGCTTGCCGTCGAACGGAAAGAACCTCCCCTGGTGATACGACTACCCATAAACGTGGCAAAGCAGGAAGAGCGGCAGAAAGAGCAGCGGCAACAAAAATGAGGCTGTTTCTAATGCCGAAGATGCCGAGATCTTGGCCGCTGCAAAGTCTTACAAGCTCGCCCACCCAAGGTGCGGGTGACTACTTGAGGTGTATGTACAGCCTTTGGAATGAGACTGCAGGTTGTTGCCTGCTGCGCTTCTCCCCGCCGCAGCAACCGCAGCAGGGCTTCCCTGCTTCTCGTGCGTTACTGCCATGGTACATAGTTGGCCATAATACATTTTGACACTTTGTACAACCCTAGCTACACCTGTTAAGAAAAAGTGAGTCGAAACGAGAATTTGGTGTGGCTGTTCGCACATCTGCATCTGCGCGGAACAGAGAGTGAACTCCCTACAAGGAGTACGCTGGACGCTATGTGCAACTAGCTGGGAATTTCTCGTCGAGCCTAGCGAGCGTAGCTATAAGGACGGTCGTGCGTGTTGGCCCTTCCCCGCCCTCATGGCGAACCCCTTGGGTTGGCATTGTGAGGAAAACTAGGAGCCTTTTCGAAAAAGCCTATAACCGCTTTCCATAAGGTGCGTACTGAGTCTGTAATTTCAAGAAATTCCGCTTCCTCCTGCGAGATGAGATGGAAAGTTGCGTGAATTGCCGACACAGTGCGAGTCCGCCCACCGCTTTTGTAGCGCAGCTGCCCGGCAGACGCGACCACACATGCGGGACGGGAAGAACCTCTCAGATTGAGACAGCCTGCCATGCCAAACCAGAGCAGAGAGACTGCGGTGCCTCAGCATTCTGTACGGCTTCAGTGGCGCATGGGGCCTTCTAACCTCCCGCACTCCGACAACCCAATCGCAAAGTGAGGAGATGTGTTAACACCACAGATGGGCGCAGATGCCCTCCAAGACAGTTGGCTATAAGGTTTCTATCACGCGGCTGCTCAATGCCGTTTCCAGACAGTTTCGGGCCTGAGCTGCGCATGCACATGCGCCCATGGAACGATCAGCCCCCAACCAAACACCACCCACAGCCCTTCGTCCTATTTTTTTGGTTATTTGCAATTTCCGTAGAACCCCTTTCCTGTATTTCCTCATAACAGGACTCTCCGTAACCGGAATTCCACGCCTCAAGCCTGACGCACCGTAAAAAATCGGGGGCTCCCATGGCGTCTTTTTTGTAGTGTTCGCCGTTTCGGCGATTTTCAACTCCACACAGGTTGTCAAAGGCATTTGAATTCTGAAGCGTTTGTCCGCGCTGACTTTTTGAGAAGCGTGTGCACGAGCCCGAGGGCGATGCAGTGGCGACCAGCTCGCTTCCCCTACAGGCGTGGCAGCAAAGAACGCATACAGACGGCTGTCTTTGCCTCCACAGAGCACAAACAGCAGCAACAGTCCCGCCAACTGTTGGCTATAGCTGTCGCTGGCCCCTCGACTGCAGCAGACGCCCCCGCACAAACAGCAGCCGAAGCAGCAGCAGCAGCGCCTTCCGCTGCCTCCCTCCACGAGGAACATGTGGCTCTTCTAGAGGCACTACGGGGGCTGCTGGAGGAGGCCGACCGCCTCATTTGCTGCCAGTTCCCCTCCAATTCGTCCGCTGCTGCGGTTCGGGAGAAGCAGCATCAGCTGACGGATCGCTATCACGCGTTGAAACGGCAATTCAAGTCTCTCCAGGTGTCAGGACACCTCACAGGGCCGAGTGCTGAGGTCTTCGACGTGCTGGTCAGCTCCCGAAAAAATGCACAATAAAGTAAATATAGAAAAGGTTTAAAAAAACTATACGCTGGAAAAATGCAATTTTTTTGTTTGGATTTTGGGGTTGCTTGTCTGGCTGCTGCTGCTGCAGGGTGATCCGAAGCTTCTCTGGCGGCAGAGCCTCCCCGACGAATGCAGCTGCGCGGCATTCGGCGAAAATGGGCGGCTCGATCCCCTCCCGCTGGCCATAGGCTTGCGCTGTGGTGGTTTGCTGCTGCTTGGAGGAAGCGACGGTAGGATGGTTGGCTGCAGAAGAATGCATGCACGCCTCAGCGGCTGCCGCGACGCCTTAGACAACGAAGACGCACTCAGTGCCTGGCCCTGCACGGTCCTACAGGAGCAGCAGCAGCAGACACTTCTCAAGTCGGGAGATGATGCAGCAACATGGGTAGCAGATGCGCGCAAGGGAAAACGGCGGCAGCAACAGCAACAGCTGCTCGCAGAGCAGCAAGAGCAAGAGCAGCAGCCGCAGCGAATACAACTTGCTGAGCAGGATCACTGCGCCTACGACATGCAGGGGAACAACTTTCTGCTAAGCAACCAGGTGCTGCTGCAGCAACTGCAGCAGCAGCAGCAGCAAGAGTATCAGCTGCGGCTGCTCTTCTCAAGAGCGAAGGCACAAGACACCTGGATGCGGACGCTGCTGCAGAAGGTATGGCTAGATATGCTGCTGCAGCACACGCCGCAACAGCAGAATCCACCACCACCAGCAGTACCACCACCAGCAGCAGTACCACCACCACCAGCAGCAGTACCACCACCACCAGCAGCAGTGGTAACGCTGCAGTGGCTTAGCGTAGATCGTTTACTACTGGAAGGCAACGATGTGCTTACTAGTGACTTGTTCGCCACAGCTTCTGCGCTGCGGCCAGAACCGTTGTATATATCTGCTGCAGCAGCCACTGCTGCAGCGCAAATTGCGAATTCTGGAAGGAAAGACGATCACGGCAGTAGAGCATCTGTGATCCTTGAGCCACCTCATCTTGACAGCAAGCCCTCCTTTCAGTGCCTCCTCTCCGTTGACGCTGCTGGCTGCTGCTGCCTCTCTCTGAACGGGCTGCTACCGCTCCTTACACTGCAGCTGGATCAGCTGCTGCCAAGAGGTTCAACAGAAGTATCCCAGCCTCACGTCGCGCAGCCCTCTGTTTGCATGCAACCGCAGTTGCAGCAGCACAAAACGCTGCTGCATGCGGAGGCTTCCCCAGCGAAGCGAAGACGTCCATCAACCCCACCCACACCGAGGGATGCCACGCAGCAGCAGCTGCTGCTGAGCAGCAGCAGCAGCTGCTGCCACAGCAGCAGCAGGAGCAAAGAACGCGAGAACGTCAGACTCAATAATGCCGCCACACCTCTAAGGCGTCTTTACCGCGACGCCCGAGATCCAGTGGGCAAACATGCAGCAGCAGCAAGAGCAGCAGCAGCAGCAAGAGCAGCAGCCACAACAACCACCAAGCAGTGTTGTGTTGCTGCTGCTGCTCACCACGAAGGAGAGAAATGTCTCGGATATCTGGCTGCCTCTGCCGGATGTTCGCCGACGGCTTCAGGCTTGTTTGCATGCTTTTCTGAGGAGGCAGCAGGAGCAGCAGCAGCTGCTGCTGCTGCTGCAGCTGATTCCGTCGGTGCAGCGAAGCTGGAGCCTTCAACGGCTACAGTTCCGTTGCGATTGATGCTGCAGCAGCGGCAGTTGATAGTTCGAGCAGCCACCATGAGCAGCTCCTGTGACTCTCTCGCTGTACTTCTGATCAAAGCCTCTCCTGCTGCTGACGCTGCTGCAGCTGCTGCAGCTGCTGGTAAGAGCCTTTGTGCTTATCCTAGTCATCTTCAGGCGCTTTCGAATGCAGGAGGCGGCAGAAGATGCCTTGCGCGAAAGGAAAGCTCCCACACTTCTCCAGCCGCTGCAGCGGCTTTCAAAGCCAACACTGATACAACCGCAACTGCCAAAGTGATATCACACCAGCCGTCGACGAGGCAGCAGCAACAGCTGCAGCAGGAAAATGGATTCCTGGCACTTGTCTCAATCCCATGGGTGTGTTCGTTTCCACGCACTCCGGCCTCTATGTATCTGTATACATTCAGATTCATACATACATGCACATCTGTACGTATATGCATCTCTATGTAAATATATATATCTACATTCATATATCTTATCTACATGATGCAAGCCTATTTGTGGCCAATAGAAGCAAAAATCCAATATATACATACATACATATGCATATACATGTATATGTGTATTTATGTACTTCAATTCATACCTGTATATACTTATATATCTTATCTACATGATGAAAACCTCCTTGTGGCCAATAGAAGCAAAAATCCAATATATACATACATATGTATGTATATGTATATGTATATGTGTATTTATGTACTTCAGTTCACACCTGTATATATTTATTTATATATCCTATCTACATGATGAGAACCTCTTTGTGGCCAATAGAAGCAAAAATCCAATATATACATACATATGTATGTATATGTATATGTGTATTTATGTACTTCAGTTCACACCTGTATATATTTATTTATATATCTTCTCTACATGATGAAAACCTCTTTCTGGCCAATAGAAGCAAAAATCGAATATATACATACATATGTATGTATATGTATATGTATATGTGTATTTATGTACTTCAGTTCACACCTGTATATATTTATTTATATGTCCTATCTACATGATGAGAACCTCTTTGTGGCCAATAAAAGCAAAAATCGAATATGCACATACATATATATATATATATGTATATGTGTATTTATGTACTTCAATTCATACCTGTATATACTTATATATCTTCTCTACATGATGAAAACCTCCTTGTGGCCAATAGAAGCAAAAATCGAATATATACATACATATGTATGTATATGTATATGTGCATTTATGTACTTCAATTCATACCTGTATATATTTATTTATATATTTTTATATGCATGATGAAAACCTCTTTGTGGCCAATAGAAGCAAAAATCCAATATATGCATACATAATGTATATGTGTATTTTTGTACTTCAGTTCACACCTGTATATATTTATTCATATATCTTATATGCATGCTGAAAACCTCTTTGTGGCCAATAGACGCAAAAATCCAATATATACATACATAATGTATATGTGCATTTATGTACTTCAGTTCGCACCTGTATATATTTATTTATATATCCTATCTACATGATGAAAACCTCTTTGTGGCCAATAGAAGCAAAAATCGAATATGCACATACATATGTATGTATATGTATATGTGTATTTATGTACTTCAATTCATACCTGTATATACTTATATATCTTCTCTACATGATGAAAACCTCTTTGTGGCCAATAGAAGCAAAAATCCAATATATACATACATATGTTTGTATATGTATATGTGCATTTATGTACTTTCATTCACACCTGTATATATTTATTTATATATCTTATATGCATGATGAAACCTCTTTGTGGCCGATAGAAGCAGCACAGGATCGCTGTGTCTGTGTTTCAGTTACCAGGACTGTTGCGGAACGTTGCTGCTGCACTCCACCTGATGGAGGCAGCAGAAGCAGACACGAGCTTTGCGATTGCAGCACTGCAGCAGGCAAAGGGTGTGTGGGCAGCAGCAGCAGCAGCTGCTGCTGCTGCCGAATCGTCAGACTCCATGGAATCACCAAATGGAGACTGCTGTGAACCAGAGGTAGAGCATGCAGCTCCTGCTACTGCTGCTGCTCGTTTTTCATCATGCTCCCCCGCTTCAGCAGCAGACAAAGCAGCTTCAACTTTTCCTGGTATACCTGCCTCCTTGGCTTTCGTGGCATCGGCAGCTGTCTGCGCAGACAGCTGCCGCTCGTGCGTACAGCCGCAGAAGGCGACGCGCGCTCCGTCGCTGCAGCAAGAGCAGCAGCAGCAGCCGCCTTCTCCGCCGCAAGTGCAGCAGCATCACGAAAGCCTAACGACGTCCATCGGCAGCCTGCTGTTCAAGTAAGAGCTTCAGACGGCTGCATGCAGGAGAGGTCTTTGGCTTTCTTTTCTGTGTGCTGTGCGCTTCCTTCCTCTGATCTTTCTGCTTCTTTCGATGACGGCGGCGACAGCCGTCTCCGCATGCACTTGTGCGCTTTGGCTGCGAGCAGAAATGAAGATGGCGAAGCCTTTGTCTGCGGAGGATTTGTGGTGAGTTTGGGGCTGCATGCGCTGCGGGAAGGAACGAAGGAGGCGTGTGTGTGTCTCTCTCTCGCGCGCGTCTCGACTCTGGCGGCTTGAAGATTCGCAGCTTGCTTGCTTGCTTGCGCTGTTGCTCGCAGTCGGAGCAGCTCAGTGCGGCGAGTATGATTTTGCAAGATTCGGTGCATGCAGCTACCTCGCGAGCGCAGCTGCTGGCAGCAGGCGCAGCAGCAGCGGCTGCTGCTGCAGCGGCTGCTCTTGCAGCCTCCTCGTCTGCCGGAGATGCTGCAGCAGCCGCTGCTGCTGCTGTCTTCCCCTCCCCCGCATCGGAGGAAGCTTCTGTCACAGCATGCAAAGGCACCAACCCTATGACGGGGGATGCAGCAGCAAGCATGGCAGCGAAAGCAGCAGCTATCGGGAGAGACCTTCCAGCTGTCAGCGATGCCGCTTGTGAGTGTCTCTCTTTCTCTCTCTCTGTGTGTGTATGTTTTGCCCTTTCTTGGGCGTATGCCTTCTCTCCACGCCCAACTTCTGCGCCACGTCATTCTTATCTACTGCGGCTGCTGCTGTCGATGTTTGCTGCTGTCTGGATATATATATATGTATATATTTATGCTGATATCTGTATTAACATGCTGCTGTCTGTGTATATGTATATGCTGCTATCTGTATATATGTGTGTATGCTGATGTCTGGAAATATATATATATTATTTGCTACTGTCTGCGTAGATATATCATATGCTGCTGTTGATGTGTGCTGCTGTCTAGATATATATATATGCTGGTATCTGTATGTAAAAAAAACCTCCTGTATATATGTGTGTATGCTGATGTCTGGAAATATATATATATATTATTTGCTACTGTCTGCATAGATATATATGTATGCTGATGTCTGTATATATGTATATGCTGCTATCTGTATGTATATATTATATGCTAATGTCTGTATATATATATATATGCTGCTGTCTACATTTATGTTTTTTGCTGCTCTCTTCTCTGTACCCCTCTTTAGGGGTCGTGGCTACCGAGCTGCAGGCACTGGCAGCTCGAGCAAACGCATTGGAGTCAGAAATTTCCCAAGTGCTCAGCAGCGGCAATCAGAAAGCCATAATGCAATTCGCAATTGAGACAGACGTTCTTAGACGGCATCGCAACAAAGTCAGCTGTTGCTGCTCCACCTCCGCCTGCTGTCGAGCTGCTTATTAAAGCCTCAAATCACCAGGGGAGATTTATCTGCAAAGGGTCGATCTCCTGCTGGCTGTTAAACAGCACGTCTGTTTCTTGCCTTCGCTCCTCCTTTTCCCTTCTCCTCATTTTCCTCCTTTTTCTCCTTCTCCTTTTTCTCCTTCTCTTTTCTCTCCTTTTTCTCCTTCTCTTTTCTCTCCTTTTTCTCCTTCTCCTCATTTTCCTCCTCCTCCTTTTTCTCCTTCTCCTCATTTTTCCCCTTTTTCTCCTCATTTTCCTCCTTCTCATATTCCTCCTTCTCATATTCCTCCTTCTCCTTTTCCCCTTTCCTGCTGCTGCACATGCTGCACACAGCATAAGGTGTCTGTACGTGTGTATGGGCTGTACAGGCAGCCCGCGAAACTGAGCTGCTGCTGCAACGCCTTGCGGCTGTGCGCGCAAGGATGCGACGCTTCCGGTATGTACACTGCGTGTAGCGCAGCCGCTATCGCCGGTGCATGCAGCACGAAGTGCTACTTGAGAGTTTTCTGTTTAAGGGTCGTTCGTGTGTTCGTTGTTGGCACTTGCTCAGACGGCAAATGAGCAGCGGCTTTCGCCACGATGCAAACGCAGACTCGATGGCTGTTGCACTGAAAATGCCTGGACTCTCCGCTGCCGCCCCTGCCCAGCTGATGCCAGCATCTGCTGCTGCTCTCGCCGATATAGCGGCTGCTGCAGGAGAGCAGGCGCAGCTGCAGCAACAGCCCCACAAGGCAGCGCATGCACTGCTGACCTGCCGCGAAATATCCTCCGGATTTGTAGTCTGGTGGATTGCAAGTGGAGAAGCAGCGGCAGCAGAAGCAGCAGCAGCAGCAAAAGCAGAAGCTGCAGCAAGAGGAGAGACGTTGTGCCATCGTCGTCCCCCAGCGTTTCTCTCGCGGTGCTGCATTTGGGATGCTGCTGCAGTCGCTGCTCCTGCATGCAGCAGCAGCGAGACGGGTATTTCTGCAGTAATTAACACCTGGCAGTTGGCCTTTTCCCCTGAAAAAGGCACAAACAGTGGCTCAAGTTCTCCCGCTGAGGAGTGCGTCCTCACCGCATCTTTTTCTGATGTTCATGACGTTGCTTCCCTAAGCGTCAAGGAGGTGTGTGTGGCAGCCGTATGCGGGGAAGATCCAGTTTTGCTGCTGCTGCAACAGCAGCAGCAGCGGAAGCACGAGATACAGGCCTTTGTACGGAGGTTGCAGAGCTTCTCAGGCACGCAAAGACGCATTCCAAGAGATCTGCATCTCTCCATCGAGCCTTTATCTGTACGTGTTTTCCCTCGCCTTCTTCTTGGCTTGTGCTTCTTGCAGTCTGCCTTTGCTTCAAGCTCCCGTGTTTACGGCTGCTGGTGCACCTTTCTTCTCTCTGGTTCTGGCTCGATTGCCTGTAATCCTCCATGACCTTCGCTGTCTCTGTGCTGCGAGGAAGAGTGGGCTGTTTACCGCTAATCTCCTGCAAGTGTGCTGTCGCACCTCCTTGCGACATGTAGACCCTCCAGACGGCAGAAAGTGCAGCTGGGAGGCAGGGGGAATTCGTTGTTTTTTTCTATTCTTTGTACTCTTGCATTGTCTCAAAAAGAGCCGCCAGGCATGCGTTTGTGTCTGCTGCTGCAGAGAAAGGCCGCCCTGACGTCTCGCGCACTGGGTCGGTTTTGTTTTGTTTTGCTAAAGGAGCCCACATGATGCTTGCTGCTTAATTGCTGGGTTGTTTTTTTGCGCTTTTGTGTCTTCTGCAACTCCCTGCCGCTACCCGTCGTTTCCATGAAGGAATAAAGCGTGAACTTAGCAGACAAAGGCCGGGAAAGTCTAGGAGGGAAGGCAGAGCCGGGGTGTACGTACAGCAGGGAAGGTGCAGTTTCACTCCTTGGTCGACTCGCCTAATTATTGAGCCTTCTTCGCCAGAGTGGGCAGCCACTCAAAGGCATGAGCAAAAGGGTGGGGAACTAGGCTGCGAATCGCGGCGTTGTAGGCCTTCGAGTGAAGGAAGTCTAGGGTTCAGGCAGACACCCACGATACCATCTAGAATAGCAGCATGCATCGTCATTGTGCTGCTGTCAACGCCAACCAGAGGCTCCCTGAGGGAGCAGCAGCAGCTTCAATTAGACTAGAGGCTGTTTGCAAGCTGGCAGGGAATGACACACGAATCTTCGCACCCCTGCCTGCCAACGTGCGGCAGCATGAAGACACTGCTACGACTAAGCAGACAGGATGCAAGGAGTAGCAAAGCTGACATCAAAAACATAAATAAGGGAAGGCAATGCATAGAGAGCTTCTGAGGAGAGAAGCCTGGAGGAGCCTCTTTGCATGCACACTTTTCCTCGAACCACAAAGACAATAGATCAAACAGTCTATCTACTGCGCCGATAAACATCGATTGCGAATAGGGCCGAGAAAGCAACGCGTCTGCTCTTGGCTGCGGAGGGCTCCAGGCACTGCCTGCGTGCTGCAGTTCCGCCGTTTTCTGGAAGACTTCGGAAGCGCCTCACAAGCAGCAGCCATTGCCTGCTTTCTCATTTGGACGGGGGTGCACACTTTCTAGTGTTTGAAGGAGTCTCGCAAGGCGTATACGGGCCATCTAAGCGGTACGAAGAACGCTAGGGCTGCCGCCACTGCATGCAGAAACAGCTGCGCTGCTGCCGATACAAGGATTTCCTCTCTCCCTTCTGCTGGTTCCTCTTGGATGGCGTGCCTGCCTCTGTGGATATGTGCGCTCGCTGCTGAGTGTACTTTGTTCGGGAGAGGGAGAGGCTCTCTCTCTCAATTTTGGCCAAGTGCATTGCATCTCGCGTGCACCACAGTCCGCAAGCTACAAAAACGTAGGGATCCACAGGCTCCGTGTCGGCACCTCAAACTGCACTAGTCACATTTATAGCTCGGAACTGGTCAGGAAGTGACCAGTTGCCTTGGTTGTTCATCTACTTCAGCTGCTGCAGAGTGCCATTAGCTGGATAAAAGAGACGCAGGGTTGTGTGCATGTGTGCTAGATGCTAAGAGCAGCTACCTGTTTGGCATTTTTAAGGGGTGCAGTACCGTGCACTACTCCAGCCGTCCTCGCCTTCTTCTTGGGAAGTCGGAGGAACGCCGGAGGCGGAAAGAGGGTGCTTGCTTTGTTTGAGAGGGACACTCAATAGACTTGATCATGTGCGCATTGAGTCTGGAGTTGCGTGTCTCTCTACGGAACCCTTCGATAAAGCGCTCCCTAATTAGTTTGAGGCCAGCCGAGGCACTGGCTTAGACGCGCTGGAAGACTCATACGTGGAGCCTGCTTGCTAGCGGCTGGTCACAATTGGGCACATCCGCGAACTCTTTATTGATGGTTACGCAGTTTTGTTTTCCCTCGACTTAAAGTTCAATGAAATCCTCCAAGAAAGAATCGGGTTCAAAACAAGGAAGAGGGGGATGCGCGCTCAGAACTGCCTTCTCTTAGTGTGCTGCTGGGTTGCGCGCCGCATCAAAGCTCTTGCACTCACCGTGCTGAGGCACCTTTTGTACTTTGCACGCCATATATGAAGTCGCCCGCGTCGAAAAGACCATTATGTGCCGTCGTCTAACGTTTCTTTCATGACACCTATCTGCGTAGGGAGCAGCTATGGCCAGGTGCGTTCCTTCCACTAGGTCGCCTATGGCCTGCCTAGGATCATGTCATGGTGCACGTTTTCAACATGATCGTCACGCACCATCCTTATCGGAAATACCTCCCTTTCCAGTAGCCCTCAACTCTCCTGGCCTCGCCAATCTTTGCATTCGGCTGCCCGATACAAAATCTGAGCCTTAAAGAGGGCGCTAAAAACCAGTCCTGGCAGCTTGCAATTCTCCGCCACCTCAGGTAACTGGTCCACTGTTACATCCAGTATCAAGGAATGTAAATACTTCCTCACCAATAATGCCAACTTGTGCGACCTGCGTTGTATCTACTTCCAGCTATGGTTCGATCCCCTGTGCCTCCCCTCACTGCGCCTCACCGTGCATGAAGACATGTCGTTTCCCTGGTTCGCTTCCTTTGCTTTCCAAGCAGCCTTCTTTCGCTGAGCTCACTCTTGTTGCTCAAGTTCTTCGGCTTTTGCACGCCTTTACAATTACAAATTATGTGACTCAATTTCCCTAAATAGCAGTAAGTGAGGTTTGGGGGACTGTCTGAGCTGCCTGGGAACGTGGGGTCACTCTGGCTCATTTGGCCGTCCACCTTTGACTGCAGAGTAGGAGTGCTGTCCTAAGCCCCACACCAATATAATTAAGATCCCGAATTGGCTGTCTTTCCGTAGTCTGAAGACGCAGGAAGTGCACTCATTTGCTCATGCAACATCGAGTAGTCCCCTATTTGCAGTAGCCCTACTGGTCGACTGATAACTCGCTGAGTGGCTGCCCAGCCTGCAGCTACTTCACATTGTACTTCGGTTGAACCCCAGCTGGACCACTGCTAAAGGACCCACTTGTCAACACTGTAACTTTCGCGCACCAAAAGCTTCATATTTATCGAGATACCAACTCCCTGATAGAGTGTCCTGCTTGTTTCTCGATGATCCCAAAGCATGCTGTTGACCTACTCTCCTCATTAACAACCAATGAAGCAGCGGGCTTGTATAAAGGCGTCAACTGTAGTAGTGCCCGAAGCAGACGGCCTCCGGTACATGCGTAGAGCCACAATTAAAGTGCCTCTCCCTTCAATAAGCATGCTGCAAGGTGCCTTCGTTCCTTTGCTTTCCGAGGCACAAAGCGAGGAACATTTTCAATCGGCTGATAAAATCTTCCAGTGATTGCCCATCCTTAGAGTGACCGCCATACTTTATTGGACAGCATGGTCTCATCGACGTATTCGTTAAACTTTTTGGCTGGTACAATGTGGTTTTCTACCAGTTGTGAAGATACGCTGCGTTCACAGCAGCTCACATTCCTGCCTCTGCCGCCCCAACAGGCGCTGTGAGCCCTCCACTTCCATCACCAAAGGGGCTTTCCGCCCAGCCTGTTGCCAAAGGCAGGCAAGTTACTGAATCACAAAATGACTTGCTCAAAGCCGGACGGCTGTTGTAGGGAAACCTGAAATCCCACTGCAATCACCGCTACTGGGTGAGCGGAGAGCAGTGGTATCGACCATGCGGTGCTAATAACTGTATCAGTTCATCTATGGTCTCCGTAGGAAGACAGTTCATCGCGGATTAAGTGCACGCTTAATACCAAGTTAGTCAATGTTTCCAAGAAGAGCTTTCTCTTTCTCCTGAGTGCGCCTTCCGAGTTTCCTAGATGAGGGAGGAGGGACAATTAGGGTGAGTGTTTCTGCACTCCCTTTGCGTTCCAACCATTCATAGCTAGCTGTAGCTAGCAACTGGGGCACACCCAAAAAAAGCATAGTCTAGCGACTTAACTGTCCTATACAAATCATAATAGATACGATCCGACCGAATAAATAGTTAATCATTTGCTAAGCTTGATATGACTAGTGTAGTAGAAAGCGTTTAAGTGTAGGTAGGCCCGCCACAAATAGACATTTTTGTCTTTCCTGCTATGCCAGCATCTTTGCTCCCCTTCTACCCAGGTGGTATAGTGTTGCGTCTGCATGTTTCTTGCCTCTCGCCCTCAGAAGCATGAGCTTTCTAGGCGTCTCGACCCTTGTATATCCCTTTTCCTAGCAGCAGAATCGGAGGACTCGCTTCTGGTGTGGCGTATAGAGTTGTGCCTCTCTGTTACCTGGGTGTTCGTTGCTCCATCCTTCGTGCAGCTGCCCATGAACAAGGAGTTGATATATAACGCCATGAAAGGAAGCGTTAAATGACAACGGTCCCTGAAAGCGATGCCACATAAACGTACGAAAGAAGAGACAAGGGGATAAGGGCGCACTGAAATGTGTGCTCTAGGATTCTAGGATTAGATCGGTCGTTAGGCAAGCCAAGAATTAGATAGGCCGACAACTGAAGTCAAATAAAGTCAATAGGGTCGTTCTTTGTAATTCTGTGTTCATGTTCACTGCATATCTTCCAGTACAACCATCCGCCAGGAGAACGGCCGGGACTCTGGATGACAGTTCATGTTTTCCCGCCAGATTGTTAGGGCCGTACTCTACCTCACTTCATAAAACAAAATACACACGAGTAGCTGTGAATCTCACTTCGAAATTCGTCGAAACTCAATTGACGTCGTTTAAGCAGCTGCCTGTACACCTCGCTCAAGGCAGCAACGCGGGTCCACAGAATTCAAGTATTTGTACCAACCTACTATGCCACTAGCTTCGTGTGAATGAGGGTGACGTTCTCAACGAGATCATAAAGGAAGACTGTTTTTCTGACTTTTTGTGAAGTTTGCAAAGTCATGCGTAGTGCTGAGAGCTCGCAGACTACATTCCATTGGTGCCCACTAGGCTATACTGCTCTAGCATCCCCTCACCTCTTGGAGCAATTACATTCATCTTGTTCATTTTGAAGGCAGAAGTTTTGCGAATTTATGAATGTTTTCCAAAATTTTAGGTCGATGCCTATCTGTTGGCGGCGGCATATCGGCAACGTGGCCGAGTGGTTAAGGCGGTGCCCTGCTAAGGCATTGGGTTCTGCCCGCGTAGGTTCGAATCCTGCCGTTGTCGCTTCTTTCATTTCTTACTCTGCACAGTTGTAACTTGGGGTTAATATGGGAGATGTTGACAATCCACAGTGTCTTGAAGGCAGTTGCTCTTTCCTTAAATGGTTGTACCCAGCTTTTCTGTGGCCCTTCCAAAGGCGGGGCAGCCATTTAAACTCGGAGGCGCCACTGATTCCGGTTACCCCACCGCAAACGAGGTCCCCGGCCTGTCTGCATAGTGTCCACAGTGATTCATTAGTTCCTTTCGCTGTGAATTACGTGTTATTTGGTTGAGTCAATTTTTAACGAACCGAGGACCTTTGGCACTTCTAAAGCGCGTCGTTTTCAGTTGCCTCGTGTCTACTCGACGGGATTCGCTCCCGAGCAACTTCCGTCGGCTGCAGATACACAGTTCCTCCGATATTGTTTAGGGCCCTTTCGGGTACACACACTCGTCTCCTGCTTCTCGGTGCTGCCTCCACGCCGTTTACTGCCCTTGTATAGGGCTGTACACTATGTCATACAGCCTAGAGGCTGGCAGTGTTGTGGGGAGGCAGTAGGTACGGAGGAAGGAGAGCGCCAAGAACACTCTTGCTTGTATTGCTCCATCTTCTGCCAGAACCAGGGGTCTTTTTAATCGTCGCATGCATCTCATGGCTGGGAAGGGAGATCAAGGGCACCCGCTGCGGCAGCACATGCGGGTGTTGCTGGTGCTGCTGTTGCTGCAGTTGCCCTCGCTGGGGAAAGCCTTTACTGTAAGAGGCCCTAAAGCAGCGCTTTATGCTGATTTCCCTCGCGCTACTTCAAGCCTCCCTTCAGCAGACTGCAGGAGCGTACACTCCCATTTTGAGGGAACAGCGTCTCCAGGGATCAGGGGCTCCCTAGCGGTCTCGCCCTCTACTGGTGGCGCTAACCTGTTGCTCCCTCCTGATGAGTCGAACTCGAGATCAGCCGTGTCTCGCGAGGCCCTTGATCGGGTGGCGGAGCTGGTGAAAAACAACGAGTTGTTTGCATTTATCAAGGGGTCACCAGAAGAGCCCCAGTGCGGATTCAGCAGGGTTGTCATACAGGTGCTACGCGTAAGTAAAGCAAGGCACGAAGGGGCAGGTTGTGTGCATACACCTGAGGTTTCGAACTATATACTCTTTCTGCCCCATCCCTATTTACGCTCTAGGCGCATATAATGAATGCCTATGCTGCATGCTTTGCTATAAAGGGTTTTCATCTGGTCTGTTCTTGGTCGTACAAAGTAGGCCCGGCGTCGTTCGCGCCTGACTGTGTTGCCTCCAAGTGTAATACGGCCGCTTTACGGCTAAAATTCATGGTTTGTGTTATTGCTGCTCAGGCGTGCGGTGTTACTTCAATCCCGTACCAGGATGTCCTCTTGGATCCTGAATTGCGAGCAGCCGTTCGGGTGTATGGGCAGTGGGAAACGTTTCCCCAGGTGTACATACACCAAGAACTCATTGGAGGAGCAGATATCCTTTTGGACATGTTTAAAAAGCAAACACTGCAAGAACTGCTGCAGAAGCACAGCCTTGTTCAGGAGGACAGTGCCCACCCGTAAAGCATACGGAGGCGGGCAGCAAACAGCTCAAACCTAGCTAGCAACTCTTGAAATAACACTCTGGAGGCTCGTTACAAATTGCGCATGCCCAAGGGCCAATGCATGTGGGGCTTTTAACTTTGGGGTGCAGAGTTTAAGGTTCTGGACGTGAAGGGCCCATAGCAACTGGCAAGAAAAATAGCTCATGGCCATTCCGGGAATCGGAAGCGCCTATGGAACCCGTGAGAGGTAGCAGCAGAAAATCTTCGGAGTTCCTGAAGTCAATTGCATTAACAAGTAGCATCTAAGTTTTTGGATGTTGTGCGGTTTAGGATCTAGGGGATAGCAAACCGTAGGGCCTTTCGCTTAGTGGTAAGACAATCTAGATGTATGGGTTTACGGTTTATGGTTCTTATGCGTCGGGTGTTCAATCTCCTTTCTTTCTTTGCCTGCCGCCAGTTCCAGCGCCTCGGCACACGCGCCCAAACGAACTGCCTGCCAACGCACATGCATGTGCACATGCAATAGCCTTCATTCACAACCGTAGAAAGCAAACCCGCGAAGGCGCTGGTTACCTTGCTCTTAAAGCATCTCGCTAGGTTGTTCATTTCTACGGAGTAAGCTCTGTGGCGTAATACGCTAGGATTACATGTCTTGCTGTTGCGAGGGCCTTGTGTGGTTGCTTCATCTGTTGCTGGGCCTTGCTGTACAGACACTCCACCGCTTCTCGGATTTGTTTGGCGTTTCTCGGTTGCCACTGCTGCTGAAGTAGCCATTCTCGAAACTCCCGAACAAGCATCGTGGGCCGCTGTGGCTCACCGTCCACTGATGTCTCCTTTCTATCTAGCAGCTGCTGCTGATTAGCAGCAGCAAGTGCTGTCGCTGCGGCAGCGCGGGCTTTCGACCCAGTCGTCGCTGAGGGCAACTTTGTTGTTACCACTGCTGTAGTCGCCTGCTCAACGGCAGCAGCAGCTCCTCCTCCTGCCAGAGCTGAAGGGTCCCCTTCCAGCGCTTTGAATTGTAGATACGCATCAAAGTCGCCGACTGCAGCGGGGGAAAGGCTCGCTCCAATCAACCATGGATCTTCCTGCAGCTTAAAACAAAGGCGGCGCCACTCCTCACAGGGGAGAGAAGCGGCCTCTGGTGCTGCTGACGCCGGACGTACTGCTTCTGCGCCTGATTGCTTGGTAATCCCCATACGGCTAATTCTACGGCTGGTGCCAGCAGCAGATGCAGCGTTTCCAGCAATACTCGTGTTGTTCTTGATTTCGCTGCGCAATGCAGCACTTCCAAGGGCTAATAGGTTCTCGATAATGGCCTCCAGTTGCCAGTCAGCCAAAGCATAAACTTTGCTGCCACCGCTATTGCAAATACATCTGGTCCTTGTTCTCTTGAGGGAGTCAGTAGGATGGCAACTTTCAGGCACCGTCCTCTGATTTGTATCTCCTTCAGCTGTTCCCCGCAGAAGTTGCTGCACCATAGTGGGCTTGTTGCTGCACTGACGGTCTTGCCGCTTTTCCGCTAATGCCGCGGCGCGAAGGACGTGAGCCTCGCAAGGAGAAAATGTGGCCTGGGAGAGATCGGGCATTTTTTGGAGACAAAAGGCAGCCGATGCTTCCTTTTGCATCTGCCCTTGCCGCAGTTGGTTTGACCGTGGTGCTTTAGGGATTGAATGAGTGCCTCTGGGGGGTGGCAGGACTGAAGGGGACTTTCTCTCCTCCACCGTCACAGGCAGGCAGTCGAGCAGCTGTAATGAAATTGTGGCCTGCACTACGCGGGCCCTGTGGAGCAGCAGTAAAAAAAAAATGCTTTAGAGCTAGCAGGAGCGTTTGCGGGGATTAGTCAGAAACAGCATCAGCCTCAGCAGAGATAGCTATATGCGCGAAATAGCGATTTGTGGCTAAGCAAAGTCCGTCCTTTTCTTTTCTGCACGTTCTGCAGCAAGCGTAGCTCCAGCTAGTGTTCCTGCTGCGGCTGCTGCAGATACCTGTAGCGTGCTTCAGCAGTAATGGGGTTGCCCAGGAGGTTGAGCGTGCGAAGTCTTTTAAAGGCGTGAACTGCGTTGCACTGTTCTTCGACACTGTGAATTCGGTTTTCTGCCAAAGACAGGATCTCCAAGCTGTTTCGGCTGCCGGAGAGAGAAGGGATAGCGCAGAGTTCGTTGTTGTCGGCATATACCTCTTTCAGGTAACAGCAAAGAGAAAGGGGAGAAAGGGAGCGCAGGCAGTTTCGGTTGAGCCATATGTAACGCAGAGAACGGAGATATGCGAAAGAATGTGCCAGACAAACCCCACCCAAATCACACAGGTGAAGTTCCTCCACAGAAGACAGACGAGAACACGAGGCGCCACACGCCCCAGGATGTAGTACGGGAGAACCTGATTCTTCCATTGTTTCTGCGGGTGTTGTTTTTGCTAGTGGTGCGCTATCCGCTGTATGTGCAAAAGTTCTAGTTTTGGGTTTGGTGTTCGTATCCAGGCCCTCAGTGTAACCCTTGCCCTCGGGGTTGGCGTGATACAGCTTTTTCGGCATCGTGCTGCTTCGAGTAAAGACGCAGAGAGAAGCCAACGGTGGTCAGACACTACACATGCAGGCCTTTAGATGTGTAGGTTTCACGTAGGGTCTACTTCTGCCTCTTCCCGTGTTTTTCTCTTCAGGGCAACCCCAGAGGGGAACCGTGAAGGAGCATGGACAAAACGAAATCGATGTGCAAGTTCGCCATGTAGACGATGTACTGTCTCTAGCGCTATACGGCTTCCTGTAAAGCCCTCATGCCAGTCTCTTACTCTTGGAAAAGGTGCAAGGAACCCTTGTTGCGGCGAGAGGAAGGGCCCCCTGAGGCGATATCCCTCTAGGTCTTTCCCTTACTGCCTATTGTCATGGGAAACTGTGCATTCTACTTGGACGCGAGGCAACTGTCTACATACACCTCGGCCTGAGCGTTTGTTTGAGGAGGACTTGTATTACTGAAGTCACCCTCCAAGTTGAACGTAGCAGGCACCCTATAGGGTATGCGGAGGAGAGAAGACATTGGGTTGCAGCGTGCGACAGAAGAAATCACTTGGGCAAAGACTTGGGCACTCTTGATGGCTATGCTTATCTCTGTAAGAATACAATTGCTGATGCTACTGCTGGAGAGTCTTTGGCTGGCCGCCCGGTAGCAGCATCTGAGCGAGAGCATTTAAACGCACCTGAAACAGAGGCAGCAGACATTGAGAAAAATGGAAACGATCCAGATGTCCAATCTATGGTGCACTTCTTACACTTCAGGTTCTTATTCAAAACGCAACACAAGCCTTTGTGCGTACCAACGCATGCAGACAGACGCCGCGCCCAACGATTATGAATTGCGCCTAGGCAGTAACATCGCAGTTTCCACCAGTTTTCAAAGGGAAGTTAGCCTAAATGGCGGTTTGCTTGCTGCCTTCTTCCTTCTTGGCCAGCTTTATAGGCCATAAATCCTACAAGGCATCGGCCGACTAGCGTCGTCACTGTATGCATTCACGTACCTACACCAACACACACGCACTCCTCCACGTTAGCGCCACTTGTAAAGAGTTTCAGGATCTGACTGATGCTTACCGTTGCTGTACCGTCCATTGTTGGTACTTTTTCTGCCTTGCCTTGCGTTGTACTGCTCTGCATCGGCGGCCTCTTGCCGCTTCCCCTCCATACTGCTGTTGCTTTCTCTCTCCCTCCAGCTTCTGCCGGAATTGCCTCTGCCCTTGGATCTCCTCAAGAGGTCCCCCTGAGGGCTCTTTCAAGAGATGCGAGTTTCGGGTGCCCCCCTCCGGTGTCACTACACCCCGAAGCGAGCAGTACCCCAATGAATCCCCAACACGACCGCAGCCAGAATCCCGAGGAGGCCATCGATAAAGAGGTAGCAGAACTGAGACGCATGTGCGCGGAGAGGTATCAGAAGCACCTTCAGCAGCAAGATAAGCAGCATGAGCGGAAATGCCACCAGACGCAGGAGGACGATGAGCCTCAGTACATAAGCAGCAGCAGCGAGGATTTGAATCGAGAAACGGGGCGAGCAGAGACAGCGATATCCCTGCCAAGCAGCAGCAGCTGCGGCAGCACAAGAAGCAGCCTCCCCAGACACCGGCCGTACATAGCCGCCATCGACACCAACACTGACTCGACTCAGCTTTCTGAAGGTCCCCCCCTCACCAACAACAACCAGAGCAGCTCCAGCAGCGGCCGCAAGAGAAAGAAAGGATCAACTGGTGGCTTCGGCGATTCGTTTCCCAGGAATGAAAGCTCCGAAACCAAAAGTTCGGCTCCGCAGAGCATGCATGGGAGCAGTAGCAGTTGCGGGGGTGGCAGCGCGAGCAGCATGAAGACGGGAGAATCTGGCTCTGGCAGTGCCCCTCTCAGTGCGGATACACCGGAAAGCCTTTTCCCAGACTCTGCTCTTCCAATCTGGCGAGATGAATTCGATCTGCTTACCTGGTAGGATTCGAGGAGGCGGCTGTTACTGAAACGGCAAATACGGCAACGCAACATAGGCCACAGCGTTGGGAACGTGAGGAGCGTGCAGCTATCGTAGGTAGGATGTGCTGCTGCTTCTTCTCCTTTTTGCTCTGGGCGTGTTTTCGCACCGCCGCTTTCGTCCTCTTTCTCATGCGAATGTAGCTGTGTGTCATCAGCCTTTGTTCGTTGCCGCTGCTGCAGGAATCTGGACGGACTCGATGATCGCATGCTGCGCCTGCGGATGCTCGCAGTCTGTTCTGAAGTGCTGCAGCGACGCCCAGCAGTGGTGTTGCTGCAGGAGGTCGTTGATAGCAGTGCCAGGCTGCTTCAGCAGCGACTGCAGCAGCATTACAGGCTGTACTTACCTCGGCCTCCCCCATCTTCTGACGCAGCTGCTGCTCCTCCAGAAGCGTCGAGCGACACGCAGGCACTGGTTCCTGGCTGTCCTTATTACTGTGCAGTGCTTCTTTGCAGAAAGCAGATGGTGCCGCCTGCGCGAGGAGAGCTGCAGTCTCTTTGGTTCCCAGGCAGCAGCATGGGGAGGCATTTGTTGTATGGATGCTGCAGCAGCAGCAAACGACCCCAGGAGCCTCTGCTGGTGCTAACCACCCACTTGGAGTCGATGAGGCCGTTTATGCAGCAGAGAAGGGAGCAGCTGATGCACTGCTTCCGACTCATGGAAGCCGTCACTACGGCTGACCCCCTGCAGCAGCATGAGGAGCAGCAGAAGGAAGAGGGGCCAGTCTTCTCCGACGCATTCCCCCTGGGAAAGGCTGAAAAAGTCAGCACTGCGATCCTTGCAGGAGATCTGAATCTCAGAGATGACGAGCTCCTGCTGGATCGCCGACACCATCAACAGGGGGGGCCAAATAAGCGATTCAAAGGCGGAGGCGGAAGCAGCAGCAGCAGCAGCGATACAATTGTGCCCAGGGGAACGATTGACGCATGGGAATTCTTGGGGCGAAGCTCTAGGTGTATGTACACCTGGGACATGTTGTGGAACGACAACCACGCCGAAGTCAAGAGGCGCTACAAGCCGAGATGCAGATTCGATAGGGTGTTCGTCACCTCAGACCCTCCTCTGCAGCTTTCTTCGCGCCAGGAAGGCGAACTCGAAGACGCCTCTCCCCCCAGTGGCTCTCCAGAGCGCTCCAAGAAGGGGCTTTGCCAGGAAAGCGGAATCGACGAACCAACAGCTGCAGCAGACCAACCCCGTTGGTGCCCTGTTGGGATGAGCCTGGTTGGCACCCAGCGACTCGAAAGCGTCGGCTGTTTTCCCTCAGATCATTTTGGCATTCTGTGCCGCTTTAGAAGGCTAGGAGGATCAGACGGTACGCTCGGTAGTTCTTTCAGGGGCCCTCGCAAAGCAACGCGTGATCCGAAAGGGCCCCCTGATACCCAGCGTGCAGCGCAGACCTAAACAGGCTCTGAAGGGGGGCCCCCTGGATAGACTGGTGGTACTTATACGGCTACAACCCTGACGTAGCCACTAAGGGGCCCTCTTGCACTTGGCCTACCTCCGTCCAACGAACGAACGCCTCCCTAGAGGCTTCTTAACGATCTAAGTAACACCAACGAACGTCTCCCTAGAGGCTTCTTGACGATCTAGTTGACACCAACGAACGTCTCCCTAGAGGCTTCTCAACGATCTAGTTGACACCAACGAACGTCTCCCTAGCGGCTTCTCAACGATCTAGTTGACACGGGGGAGACGCAGGGGACCCTACTTCGTGTTGAGTGGAGAAGTACTTCCTGCAACGTAGCCTGGCCATTTTTTCTAGCTGCAGCAAGTGGCAAAAGTGAAAGCTGCCTGTGAAGTCTACATTTGTGAACTAAACGAGCAGACACCAAAAAATGTAAAGCTAAATTTCAGTCTAGTGACTGATAAAACGAACAGCAGCATAATCGTGAAAGCCTGCACGGAGTTATGGGCCTCTGGCGGCTTCCTACGGCAAATTCGGCTCCAAGCTTGGCAGCGGATATCTCAGGGGTTGCCATTGGATGCCCCTGATTCTATGCAGTGGTGACTCCTATAATCTAGTCTACTCTGCAGAAGCGTGTTTTGGTCAAAGGCAAGGGCAATTACACAGAGGTTTTAGCCAACCCACTTGGGTATAGCACCAAGCTACACTTTGGCCGTAACGCTGTTGCGAATGTCTCCGTAGGGGGCGACACTACTGCGGTCCCATCGCCAATTTGGTAGGCTACTTCGCATTTTCAGGAAAGCTTCCCTTTTCCCCCTCTAGTGTCTCACAATTACCGACATGAGAGGAGGGGGCAAGCGAGGCTGTGCTGCGTTGCTGTACCCTTTGAGCACTCAAAGCAGTTACAGCTATATGCAGATAACATCTGGAGCACGCGCACACAACATTCTTTAAGTGTGCCGGACTAACGGTACTGTGCAATAATTTAAATATACGAACACGCAAATCTATTAGTCAATTCTATCCTTATCTGTATACAGCTAGTGTAACAAAAGTACGTGTGTAACGTGTCACGTTAGGTGCTATGTGCAACTAGCTAGGACTGCTTGGGGTGCCTCTAGGGTGCAGCAAAGCGCACCCTAGCAGCCCCTGTGCCATCACGTCCGATGTCAAGAACTGCGAGAACATGGGAAGGAAGGAGCTTGCTTGGTGAAAATATTAATTTTCTACCAAGTTGGTGGTGAGCCGGGCTTAAGCGTCGCCCTACGTAGGCCGTAGGTGAAGCGTGACACCTCGTGCCTCCAAATACGTGAATGTGCGACACGCTTAGAATGGATACTGGTATCTAGCGGGGGAGGTCCTGCTACTCCTGACGCTCTCAGAGTAGACACACACACTCGCGCCGACCGGTACGCGATAGATGCTATTGTAGCCAAGCAGTTATTTCAGATGTGCCTATGCGTGCGAAAACGTTCACCCCATGAGGGTAGCGCGTGTGCTTGCAGAGTTATTGCTTGCAAATGGGAGGAGGCATGCCCCAAGAGTGCAGCTGGCCGGACCCTCAGTGACGGTTCCCACGAGGCTTGAAACCACTTGGCCTAATGACAAATCGGAAGAGGAGGAACAAAGCTCTTTTGAGAAGCTGTTGCTACCGCTCTCTCCAGGTAGCTTACCACGCTCCCAATTTGGGAGTGTTCTTAGGGGTGACTGACGATGCAAAACGGTGTTCAGTCGACGTGGGGCTCGGCTATGAACCCCTTAAGCTGGAGAAGTAGGCTTCCACGGGCGAAACATTGACACTAGATGAAAAAGGAGGAATTCAAGCGTCAGAATTGCGAGAAAATAACGGAAAATGGTGGTATTTCTGTGCGATTTTGCACAAGGTCTTCTCTGAGGCCTGTTTAGGTATTCGATGCCCGAAGGGTGGTCCTCCAGTCGGCATGAAATCGAGTTAAAAGTATCAAGTTTTGATGGACCTTTTCTCTAGTTTCTTGATTTTAGCGCTTTCCTTAGTGTTCTGCCTTGGTTTTATGTACTGCCGTCCTCAGACCAATGGACGTGAGAGCCTACTCACGCGGTGGTCCTTCTGCGGTGTATGTTGTACAGGAGTCGTGCCCACCAAAATGTGCAGTATGAGCGCTCTCCACCCAGCCCCAATCCCTAAACTACAGGCGCTACCCTCGAAATGATGTGTTTTCGGGGTTTTATTTGTACGTTGTGCCCGTGATCCGGGTAAATTTGGCCTGCCCCTTTTCCTCGCCGCATGTATGTACATGAACGCGCTCCGTTCCACCGCGAAGCCATACACCCCCTGCCTCCCAACAACCGGCGACCTAACGTATACCCTGCTCTTTTATCTTCATTTATTAAGTTCACCCGCGTCATGCAGGCGCTGACACCCTCAGGACTGCTGCAAGCAGCACAATGCTCTAGAAACTGAGTCGCGCATGTAGCGCTCTAATTTGCAAGCTCCATCCGGAGAAGCAGCCTTCCTCTTGAACCCCATAGGGACGCGCTGCAATACACCGGCGCATCAAAACCCCCCTGCGTTTTGCAGCGCTGTGCCTCCGTTGCGTTCAATTGACGCTCTTTGAGAGGCTTCGAGGCGCAGGGTTGAGCATCGATGACCACCAAGGGGACACACTTATCCACGCGGAGCATCGCGGGCAGCCTCAGAGGCTACCTGGATGCCTCCTGCTATTTGTGGTACCTCGTGGCGTTCTGCCTATCCCTCAACTGCGGCCTGTCATGCGCAGAGGCGACACCTACGGCTATCACACCCGTTGCTGCGGCAGCAGCAGCTGCGGCTGCAGTGCTTCTGTCACCTCCCGTGGAAAGCAAGAAGGTTCTGGGAATTGCACGGGGAGCAAATTTCGAGGCAATCGGCGACTTTTGCTTTACTGTTCCCCCCGGCAGCAGAGGTGCCTTGATGGTCGAGACGGTACGTTGCGCACCCGATCCAGTCCATTAGTGCCTTGTCACATTGCATCCGTAGCAGCAACAAAATCCTGCTGCTGCATGTTTGCTGCATGTAAATGTGGCACGTACTCGGTGCGCCTTCTCATAATACTTTTTCGCGTCGCCGAGAAGCGTCCCTCGTCTTGACGCTTGACCAACGAGAAAAAACAGACATTCGTAAATACCCTAGATCGCAAAGCTTTCCTTTGGTCCACCCCCGCAGATGCTGCATGAGGAAGGCCATGAGCTGCTCATACACCCCAAGTCTGCGGCAGTGGAGTACGAGGCAGCAACAGCGGCTGCGGGAGTTCCTCTCGACGCAGCAGGCGAGGCAACTCTCGCTGCAACCTGCAGAGCCATCCGCAAGAATTCCATTGTAAGACAAAGTCTTGGTAAGCGCTAACTTTTGAACCCAGGCTGCTTATGAAGGGCAGGGCATGGAAGCGGCGTCTGGTCTAGAAGCGCACGGCAATTTCGACTTCTGGATTGGCCTCCTGTTAATTCACTTTGCGGTAAAGGGGTGTGTAGGGAGATTCGCATTTTTGCAGCCGGATCCCCTTCGGAGAGTCAGCTCAGCACTGGCATGCCGTCGTTCTTTGAATTGAACCTGGTGCGACTCGGCCAGACAGCGTCGTGGATGTAGGGGGAAGTCTCTCTTCTGCGCTGCAGTGTGGTCTTTGGGGTTGGTGGGTGGGAAAAATTCTCGAGAAAAAACACTTGGAGACTTGGATGGTTCATGGTTCTTTTGCTGCAGGCCATCGATTCGTCACTGGATGGGAGTGATGTTACAGCATGGGTGAGTCTTGGGCATTCCATACTCCCTGCGAACCTCAAAGCCTCAGCTGCAGACGCTGCCTCCCTCGCGTTGCCGTCCTCCTGTCTGCTCTCTGTCGGATTCTGCTGCATTCTATGTGTGTGTCTACCAGCTCTAGCGTTTATGGACTGCGGAGTCAGTGTTTGTGGGCAGATCACACGATGCGATGAGGGCAAGCAGCTGAATGCGGCTTACTCTGCAACATTCCTCAATCCTGGCAGTTTCTTCTACAGACAGTTCTCGTGTCAAGACCAGGGTAGGCGAATCGTTTGCATCTCTGTAGGTGCTGTCGTTTGGCACTTTTGCTCCTGATCTCCTCGTCGCGCTGTCTATGTCTCTTCATCCCCCAAGCATGCCCCCTGTATAAACCGTGCATGAGCACAGGTACGCTTCCTGGATGCATCAAGCAGGAGCAGCGGCAACAGCATTCCCATGTGAAAGTGCTCTCCCTTGTCTGCAGGCTTGTTGCCGCTCTACATGGTCTTGTCGCTTTTTGCACTGGCGATCTGTGCAAATGCCCTCCGGGTGTACAGACAGCAGCGGACGCAGGGCTCGCCGCTCGCCGCTGCAGCTACCTGCTGTTGCTGCATCCTGGGAAGCGCCTCTCTGCTGCAAACCTTCCATCTCACAGCCTACGCTGCCGTACGACTGCAGCGTTGTCTCCCCGCGGAGCAGACTGCACTGCTGCAGTCTCGATTTTCCGCGGAGACTGCGATGGATGCTTCCTTGCACGTAGTGTGCGTGGCATTCACTTGCTTTGTCTGTTTTATGTCTGCGGCATGCGCGAAGGATGGGCTAGGCCTCCAGCTGCTCAGATTTCTCGCGGTAGTCTTCCTGATGAGCGCTCGCTGTTGCGGCTTGTTGCTCTTCCTCCTGTTTTCCTCTAAAGGCGTCGAAAGCGGCACAGTCGACGCCAGGACAAACAGAACTGTAAGTGCGCGCGCTTTGCGTTGACAAGAAGGCTTCATTCTGGCTCGCCTCTCCATGCAGCCGCTGCAAGTGCAGGCACGAGTAGAGCGACGGAGAAGTGCGCTAAGGCTCAAGACTCTCCAAGCGTGCTGCGCGTCTGCATGCACGGATTTTCCGTTGCAGCTGTCTGCTCTTGCCGTGGGACTTGCGGTAGCAGCTCTGCTGAGTATGCTAGGAGCCTCTGTGACACCTGATGAGTTGAACCCTGCAGCGCTGTACACCACGCGTAAGTCTTCTATTCGCTGACTGCCCCTTTTCCACTGCGCTACCCCATGCATGCGCAACTCTGGACTGCTGTTCTCCACATGTGGCCTTCTTCTGGTCAGCCACTCCTCTCTATGTGTGCCTCTTGTCTCTGCTTCTCCCCGCCGTTCTTCCGTCTTGCCCTTCCTGCTGTCTCTCTGAAGCACCGCTGCTGCGAGCCGCGTTTGTTTTACATCCTCTTCAGTTTGGACTTTGCCCCTCCACATCTTCTCTGGAGCTACTGCAGGTTAGCCGCAACGCGGATACGCCTTGAACTCCTGCTGAAGGCTCCAAGATGGAGGCACACCCTTTCTTCAGGTGTCATGGGGCCTGCAGTGGGTGCTTCTCAAGGGTGTCTCCGAGGCTTGCGGTTTGTGCTTAGTGCTGCTGGTGGTAATGACCATCTCGAATGCGGATTCTGCTACTCGCCAGCCACAAAGGAGGATGTTCCTACGTCTATGCTACTGGTCTGCCGACTGCTGCTTCTGCTCCTGCCCTGGTGTACCACTGCTGCTGGGGGATCCCGTTGCTGCTGTATCTCCTGCCCGCTGCCTCCGATAAAGCTGCTGTTTCCGCGCGCAGCAGCAGCTCATTTAAAGCGCTAATTTATGTGCATAACGTACAGGTATACACGGTTGCGGATCAATGCAACAGGAGACGCTCTGTTTACGTGCTTGTTTAGGGGAACTTGTTATGCGCTGTGCCCTCTATTCACTATCTGCTTCCTTGGCAACTATCCGTGAGCCTTCTGGGAACACATGCAGCAAACCACTGCCGTGCAAGTGTAGTGACAGGTGGACCTTTGAGCGTGCTTCTGCCTAGGATTTAGGATATAGTACCTTCCTTCGGGTGCCGTGTTCGATTTTCGTCTACCGCACAGAACTGCCCTTCCTCTATAGTCCGTGTCTCTTCCTTACCATACCCCCTCCTCTCTCCTTTCTGTTTCGATCTTGTGGATGCTCAGCTTGTTCCAGGCGGGCGCGATGCTCTCTGTGGAGCTGCTCTGCCTTTGCAGTGAGCAACCAAGTCCAATCAGCAGAAAAAGCAGTACCTCCATATGCGCAGCAGTGCCAAGTGCTAGATACATCCTAGGCAGATTCTAGTGACACGGAAAGAGAAGACAGACTGAGAGGCTTGTGGGGAGAAATGTGTGGACAGATTAGCCGAGAAGGGTTACAAAAGATAGCGCTGCGGCGCATGCCGACAAACAGGGAAAGGAAAGACGAAGTGTCGAGCCTATGGAAGGAAGTGCAGTATCTGCGCACATAGATATATACATATATATGTATATGAACGCTGCAGTATGGCCACATTGAGTGTGTCGTTTTTGTTCAGCACTACAGCGCATGATATGCAGAGGCTACCAGCAGGATCTCCCTCGAATGGGAGAAGTAAAATCTTCCATTACAGCCGTAGACCTTCCCTACACGGACCTCTGAGGGTCCATACACCCCACATAGGTCAATGGGCACTTTTTCTTAAAGTTGGAGTATGCTGGGTTAAGAACAGGAATTTTGGCAGCCGCCATTGTTGCAGCCCGAAGTAATTGGCTAGGCCAAGTTGAGGCTGCTTCTTTGATGTATTACAAGTTTTTCTGCTTGCCTAGCATTAAGCTCTAAACCGTACAAGGCGGTGCGTGATTATGTGGGCTTTATAAGTGAGGAGATTCGCCAAAGATCGAGATCCTGAGGGGCACTTGGTCCCAATTCTTCCCCATTTTCCACCTCTGCTCCCTTTAATTTACTCTTCATTCAGTGCATCCTTAGTGATCAAGTGTGAGGGTTTCCCTGCTTGCTCATCTTTGATTCTTTTGTACATGGGCCTTCAACTTCTTGTGTCGTCCACGCGCCTCATGGGCCTCGCTATTTCGTAATTGAACACCTGCCTGGATGACTTGTGCTCCTGGCTAGGCGGGCACAACATACTTAACGCCTCCGAATATGACATCTCACCAAACCGCATAGGCCGAAAGGGCTGAAAGCAGAGGGAGGGTCGCAAGGGGTCATGCTGGGACTGCGGGCTTGTTGCAATAACTTCGATAACAGACTTGAAGAATGCAGACTGACACACGGCGAGCTCAAAGCCTTACAGGCACATGCACGCTTTAGATGGGGCAAGATTTGTGAAGAAATTTAACCCTAGGCTTGATCCCAAGGTGTTTTGCTGCATTTTATCGTGCTGGGGATGCGTAGGGAGTTCAGTTGGACGGGCGTATGATGAAGCACACCACTTGCTACCCAAGCAAAACTCCAATTTCGCTGTGCAATTTTAGTGTATCGATTTTATGAGCCTCTCCGTATCGCGGGGTTCTCATTTTTCGCCACAATTTCCTTGGATTCTAAGAGCTGCAACGTTCATCGAGTTTTTCCTTGTGTAGCAAGGTAACACACTTCAATTTACTCACTCCCAACCTCTCCTTCTTTCTCTTCTCCCCCGTTTCGTGAGTCCACAGTTTTTGTTGCAATTCTTCCTTCACTTGTTGCCAGCGCCTTGTTTGATCCTAGCGCTTCGATACTAACACATCTCAGGCTACCTATAGTAGCATCCTCTCTTTTTCACGCTCCTTTAGCGGTGAAAATAGTTTTGATAACCACTACTTGTTTGCTACGTGCGGCTTGCGCCACTGCATACCTGTAGAGGTGGCTCGGTACAGCATGGAAGGCACTGCTGGACAAAATCCGGGGTGTACCGTGTTCGTTAGAGGGGAACACGACACATCTCAAGGGTCCCTAAATAGTTGCTAAGTAGATATTACACCAATGCAGATTAAAGAGACTCGCCCTTCCCCTACTCCCTATGAACCCGCTACTCTATTCTTGCCTCGCTATGTTTCTGTTCTCTTGCCTTCATTATTGCCCTGCGGCTCTTGACATTTTCTTTAGTGCAGCCATGAACACACATCAAAGGAGGTCACCACGCCAAAATTGGTTACACGCTATCTGTGCGCATAGGTAGAGGGAGAGGCTGTCGTACCAGACACTATCGGCAAAGCAGAAACAAACCCAACGCGTGCTCAAAAAAGATAGGCAACTTGATGAAAATTGCGCTTACATGGGCTTCATCTCTCTTGACAAGGCAAACATAAACAGCTTATTCTATGGATAGCTAAGTGAAAAAACCGTGTCCAAGTATATATCCATGGGAAACCTCATCCAGAAGCTTCTTTGCACATGCACGAACACAGGGGGGCCTCCTGTAAGGCCCCATGCAGTGGTGCAAGCAAATATCCTTTTCCAGTTGGCCACTAATCGGTTGAAAACAAGAAAATAACGTTTCGACATGTGTTTCAATCTATTTTGTGGCAGCACACGACTGCAGGGAGTGTATATCGGCCCAGCCGAACGCCATTTCCGCTGAGGATTCTAGAGTGGAGGGCCTTCGACTCATCATATGGTGCTTGTGATTTTGGCAGTCATTGGACTCAAAAAGGAGGAAGACTGGAAGCTTTCACAATGGAGCCTGTAGGCGGAAGCAAGACAGAAGCCCAGCCGTCTTTCATCCCTCGGTGAGTTTTCATGTAAAGTTTGGAGCCCATTATACCAACATTCTCATGTAAACTCGATCTGATGGAAGGACGCCCCATGAATATCGCTTATCGTCACTTCCGTGGGTTTTCATCTCTGGCGCTGGGGTGTGTGTGCGTGCGCCTCAGGTACGAATGGATGCAAAATGAAGAAAAACTTTTCCTCACCTTTTTTGTTAAATCCCTCAAGCCCTCTAGCGTCATGGTGGGCTTTACCCCTTATAGCCTGAAAGTTGAAATACAGAATCCGAACACAATGGGGAATGAGAGGAAAGGAGAAAAAGACGAACAAGCTAATGCGAAGGATCCGGAGTTGTTCGTGTTCTGTATACCGGAGTTGAGACATGAGATCATCCCCGAACAGTCTTCGTACGAAATTTTTCAAGTAAGAGCTTAAGAACCTATAGAGCAGGCCTGAAAGCCAAGGCCTTCCTTCAGTTCTCCTCTTGATCGGTGTTTCTGGTGTGGCTGTTAAAGGAAGATGGCAACGATTGTGGCTGTTAAAGGAAGATGGCAACGATTGTGGCTGTTAAAGGAAGATGGCAACGATCAAGGCCTTTGACCAATTTGCTTCCAAGGTTCAGTTTCCTGGGTTCAGAAATTGCGGTCTGGCATTTGTGCTCAGACAAAACTGGAGGTTGTGTTGTTTAAGAAGGAGAGGGGACGGAGCTGGGCCCTGTTAGAGGCAGTCAAACAGCAGAAAGATGAGGCGTCAAGAGCAGCTACTCTTCCTCTTCCTGCCTCATCTTCTGAAGTTCGTCCTCCTCCGGCCACCTCAGTGTACCCTTCCTCCAAAAAAAAGGTCGATTGGAACAAAGTAGAAAAGGTTAGTTTTGTTCCTTTGTACGAACGTCACCTAACAAATCAAAAGGGACAGGACAGGCAAGCCAACACTTCGATCGCAGCTCAAGCTAACTATCTACCCCAAGCTTACAATCTATCCAGTCAGCCAGCTCTCAGTTAGGCACTAGTCCCGCCGTGGATCCCTTGAAGTCAAGCCGGAGAGTATGTGTTTAGCGTCAGAGAAATCCGCCTTTAACCTCATTGCTCTCGTTGCGTTGTTGACTGACGATTGCTCGTCCATGTTCAGGAAATAGCAGCAGAACTAGAGTCCGAACAGTTAGAGGGCGAGCAAGCCCTACAGAAGCTGTTCAGAGACATTTATGGCAAAGGGGATGAAGACACGAGAAGAGCAATGATTAAGTCTTTTGTACGTGTAGCCTGCAACAGGACGTGGAATTCCGCCTTTGTGTTGTGTATGTTCTGTGAGCGCTTGGTTCTTTGGCTCTCTGATTTTTAGCACTTACGTCTCTACGTTGTTCTCTGATTGACCATTCTTAGCGGTGTTTTTTTGCTGTCCTTCATTGTGGTTGCAGCAAACGTCAGGGGGCACTGTTCTTTCAACCAATTGGGCTGACGTGAAAGACAAGGATTACGAAAAGGTGCGTCGTGTGCACAATGCTTTTTCCCGTCTGAGTTCGTCACGAGCTGCTGATCGGGCAAATCTCTCCTCTTGTAGGGTTCTGTTGTGGCTGCATTTCCTGGACAGACACTCGAGGCACCTGAGGGCCAAGAAGTTCGTTCCTGGAATAAGTCGTAATTCCACCGCCTTGTGCAACCTTTTTTCTTCGTAGCCTCCTTCGCGTTGGCTTTGGCTTGGTGGATATTAGCCTCTCCTTCTTTAGCTACGCCTGTTTACTTTCTGGTCTTGACCCCTCCATCTGTCTTCCGCGTTTCTTCCTTTCTCTTTGGCTGTTTGCTTCCCATCTGCACTTCTTTCCGGCTGGCCAGTACAGAACGCAGTCTAAAAGGGTTTATAATTGTGCTGCACCACCAAACCACTACTGCCCCTGGCTAAAGCTTACTGCGCCATGTGTTTTATACATGCATTTTTGGTTGTCGGGGTCTGAGCTTCAGTGCGAAACCAGGACTAAGAGCTCGGATGTAAAGCGTCAATTGAGTTCTTCCTAGGGAGGCACTGAAATTGAAACTTGCGCGATACAAACTCTATCGAAATTTGTTGAACCCTTCTCAGACACAGCTCTCCCTCAAGGTCCCCTTCCCCGCAGGGTTCCGGGTTAAGGGAAGAGGGAGAGCTAGGGTGCACGTTGCTGCATAAGCGAAGCCCGTCGAGCACTCATACATAGTTGCATACAGCATCTAGCGCACACCCACACAACATTTGGTTTCTTATAGTAGTGAGCGAACGCTAGGCTGAAACACGCGATATAGATAAGCGAACAATCCAATCATTCAATTCTCCAGTGAGTCCTGATTACTTACACGAAGTGTAGTGAAAATATCTGAGTTTAGCTTTGCTCGCAACATTGTCCCCTAATGACTGCACGACGTACGCCCTCGTCTTCCGCAACATCGAGAGTAACTGCGTGCAGGACAGCGGAAGTGTTCTCGCCCTTTCTCCACTGCCCAGGATAGCAGAAACGAACAAATAGTAGTGCAAATTAGAAAGTCAAAGGCATGCATCAACCGCTTAGGTGTAATCAACAGGGAGAAACACACACACAACAGCCATCAACGAACACGGGACCAAACCGACAAGACCGGAGTGGCGCGATGGTTCGCTGTCGTCGGAGTGCTGGATGTGTGGGCCTCCTGCCATGAGTATTGGACGAGACGTTAAACGTGTCAAAAAAATCAAAATTCACATTAGCTTAAGAGTGCGTCCACGCCTAATAGAGGAATGTCTGTGAACCAATTCAGCCGGCACATGCAGCATAGTCGAGTTCTAAGTCCCAAATAAAGCAATACCACGGGAAGAACGCAGAGACCGCAAACCCATAAGTGCATGCGCATTGACTTGAGTGTAGACAGTACCCTCTAAGTAATCACTGGCAACTTTTCATGCAATGCCCATGGATGAAGGCAGCTATAGCAAGCGAAATCCGCACTGAGGGAGGACAATCACCAAAACCCACGACAGTTACCATCCCCAACGTGTAGCATTAATAGCCACAGAGAGCCACAAGCTCTCCCTCTGGCAACAAAGCCTGGAAAGAGTCATCCATCAACCACTGAGGGCGTTACCCAGCCCACTGTGCTCTAACGTCTCGTCTATCGTGTCTCGTATGCCCAACAGTCAAAGAATCCAGCAATTGTACGGCCCCTTGCCTGTTCTCAGATCTTAGATGTTGCTGATTTCTCTTTACTGGATAGAGCAAGATGCAATGATTGTGGTTCCAACTAGCGATAAGTGCTCGGAGTGCTTGGACGGTGAAGCTACGCGCACCCTAGCTGTCCCGCTGCCCTCATGTCGGGAACTTTGAGGGGCATGGGGGCGAAATTAAGAACGACTAATAGAAAACACTCGTTAGCTTTTGCGTCAGTCCGTATCGCGTCTAAAAGTAATGTATCGGCTTAGGAAGCGCCCATGTGGAACGTCATAGTTTGTAGCGTTTCAGGGTTACATGCAGATGCTCCCCGCTCGTCCACTAATTTTGGATGCAGGTTGATATCAGGGTTCCCCACAGCATTTGTCTGGTGTTCAGCGAGCAAGCTACTGAACGATTTCCTGACTACGCTTCTATTGACAACTGTCTGCGAGTTTGCGCCAATTCAGTAACGGGTACTGCCTGCCAGATCCTCATCTTCAGCCTGAAAGGCGCAATCTCCCGGGTCCCTAGGCTGTTGGTCAAGTAGCCTTCTTGCTTATGCGGCTGGACAGACACATCGCACCCAGTAACACGCATATAAACACCGTTCTGAAACTCAAGCACAAAAGAACACTCTAGCAATCGAAAGGTGGTGCAACGCCTGTTGGAGCGGTAGAGGAGGGCCTGGAGGCTGAAGTGAAAGCAGCTGCTCCACAGCCGGGAGAGAGGCATCATTTTCCAGCGGATGAACTATTTGTGGGGGCACCGATGCTTTCATGCAGACTAAAAACTCCTATGACAGCCATATAGACGGTCAAGCACGCGAAAACCCACTATTCAGTTAAAGGTGTACCACGCTCGCTAACCCGTAATAATAAGAAACACATGCCCGTTCGGGCATGGTTTTTGGAGAAAGAAGTATTCTAGTGACAACTGTATTTATGTTGAAAAAGCCGTCTCCTTGCACGGATTGCCTATATTTCAAGCCTTCACAGAAGTCCTGACTCATCGGTTTACGCTGAAGAGAGCTAAACAGCAAAGGTAATTGTGAAAGCTTGAGCACAGGAATCTAGCAGTATTTGAGTATACCAGGAAATATTGTTTGCAAGGCGAACTCCTTAAATTAGCAGCTGTTTTTGTGGTGGTTTGACTCAAGTTTCCCCAAAAAATAGCTTTGGATGGTCGCAAGCTGGCCAGCAACTCAGAGATCAAGCCATCGACCGCTGGGGCTTTCACAAATGGTGGATTACCTGGAGCCTCAGTGCAGCTCCCTGGTTCAAGGTGATCTTTTGTCCTAGCATCAGAGGAAAGTGACGTAGTGGTGGGTGTTATTCTCTTCCAACAGGATGCCGGTTCCACAAAGTATCAAACCAGTGCCTGCTACTCTTCTCGCTTCACCAATAAGGAGAAACGCCATCCTTCGCACACAAGCTCTGTTGTGGGTGTGAAATAATTGCAGGCAGCAAGAATATGGTCACCATGTACCGGTGAGGCCGGCTTCAGTCTTCAAGCTACCGCACGAAGAATGTTCAGTATTTTGCCCATCTGAGATTTTTTTGCTGGTTTTGGCGTCTTCTGCAGTACGTCACAATGCAACCTTTTGTTTCCCCAAAACACTCTCTCGACCTTCTAGCAGTTCATTGTAGTGCCGCACAACAGCTATCTTTCACAAGTGTTCACAGAGTTTTTGGACCGTGCATGCCTCTGATGCATTTGACGTACATGTTCCCGGTTTCACTGCCACCATTCAGAATGACAAAATTGTAAAACATGACTCGTTCACAATGGCATCCTATGGTTCAAATCACAGGCGGGACAAAGTCGTCTGCACAATTCCACTTTTCTCGGCAGTTTCGTTTTGCGTAAGGCACATGACTAGGATCTTTTGGGCCGCGACTGGGTTCCCAGTACGGTGAAAGAGCTGTCACCGTCTTTCTGGTAGCCTTGTTGCGTCCTTTGCCAAAAGGGAATGAACTGAAATACCCAGTTTGTTAGTAATTAAAGCCGCTCAGCTCTACTAAACCAAGCCCTGTGAGCAGCCTTCCAGTTCCTCACAGCATTTGGACTATTCTGAATGTGAGCACTATTTTTGGGGTGCCTGAGGTCAAGGATCAGGCTAGCATCAATGTCGTTTTCGACAGACTCAACAGATATGCCCATTTCATCTCTTGCCTTAGTTCTGCCAATGCTTAGGAAGCCGATCAGTTACTTCTAGCTCGTATCTGGAGGCTCCCAGAATTTTCAAGAATAGCATAACGGATAGGGCTCGGAAATTTGTTAGAGCGCTCTGGTATGCCAACATGACCGCGTACGAAATCGACCTCAATATGAAAATTGTGAGCCATTCCAAGGCAGGTAGGCAAACAGAGAACATTGAACACAGCTTTTTGCAGACTGTATGACCCTACGCTCACACAAAGCCCAGTTGCTAGGCTCTAGCTTCAGTGTTATGCCTATTTAACCTAAAATGCAACACCGCGCCTGTATACTCTTTGCAAGCTCATGCCACTAATCTACACTACGAAGGCCCTTTCTGGTTAGAGCCTGAACCAGGTGGTTTGACATCACTAGTCGCCGTTAGCAGTAGAACAATCCAGGGAGCAGCTAACCGGTGTTCACGAATGTATGCGCAAAGCTCAGAGAGATGAATGAGGAGCCATGGTAGACGGCGGCTGATTATGTGTCTGGCGGCTGGAGCTATGGCTTTAGTGGATCGGCAGGCTTCAAGCAGTGGGCCAGATAATGGCCAGAAGAAGTATGAGACCAGGTGGCAAGGACTTTTTGCCATCCCCTTACAAAATAAACTTCTTTTCTATCTATTTCCGTGAGAATTAGAGATGCAACAGGGCTATCGATATTGGCTTCCTAAAAAAGCTTTGAAACTTCCTCATTTATTTGCAGATTTACCGCGCATGCATGCAATCTGTGCGGATGCGAAGTGTTCAGAGGAGGCCGTAGAAACGCTGGATTCTTTGACTATTGAGCATCCAGGACATGATAGATGGAAGCTTCTAGTAATGCAAAATGGTCTGGGTTACGCCCTCAGCGGTTCTCAGATGACTTTCCTGGGCTTTGGTGCAGTAGGAGAGGTTGTGGCATGCTGTGGCTATTAACGCTAGTCGCTGCGAACGGTGGCTGCCGTGGTTTTTGATAATTGTCCTCCCCGAGCACGTGTTCTATCAAACTGCCTTGGCTACGCCCTAACAATTTTTGCTACATTGACCAAAGTTAGCTAAGAGTGACTCAAGAGGAAGTTATTTACCTGATCTTGTGCTTTGTTCTTGCGGAATAAAATTAGTCTAATTCAAGAAAACGCCATGTTGCTTTGAGTGTCCCAGATGCTATATGCAAGAAAAGCTCTAACTGTCTTGAGCTGTCTCACTACATTTATCTAAGAAATCGAAGGGTGTGGGCAGGGGGAACAGAGAGCTCTTCGAGAAGCACTTAGCAACCTTTCATCAAGCTTGCATTGAGTTTGGGGCTAAGTGTTTTTCTACGTGGAACTTCGATGGGGAGTCACCATGAGAATCTGATGAGCTCCCCCTTCCCTATCTGCGTCACGTAGAAGAAGACACTTGGAGAAAGACGGAGGGAGGGAAGGGATACAAGTTGCTAGTGAGAAAAGCCCTGTAGGCATCTACTCGTACCGAGAAAATGGAGTGATTCAAGGAGGAAAGCTTTTACCCGTTCAGGTTTCCTGTGGGTGTAAAGGCTTAGGAGTTATACACAACCTCAAATCGATACAAAGAAACTTGATGGCATAAAAAATGGCCCTAATTGTGGTGATATTTGTAAGCCGTGCGTGCATCGGAGAGGCCTCGGTGGTCGCAATACGCGATTTACTACCGTCTTTTGCTACGACTGCATCTTATGAAGTGGTAACAAAGGACGCAGTAGTGGATAGTAGCTTTATGCTTGATTAAGTGGAAAGCAAAAGTGAGGCGGAGAAGCCTTCTGTCGGGGCTTTCTGCCTTCCGCCTAGTGGTGTGGCAGCCGCCGTTCCCTTTTCCTCATTCTTGTTCCTCATTCCCGAACCACCTTTTATTCGCTGAAGTGAATAATCATTTTCACGGAAAATAAGGGCAAATACGAGAACAGGAGGTGAGCTCACTGCTTGCGGCTCCCTTCCGGAGATGACAGCATGCACAACACACACCGAATGCAAAGATTTTTTGGTTTCCTGCCGTTTCCAGAGAAATTTCAGGCGCGTTTGCATTCTGCCATCTACATTTTTCTGGAAAAGTGGTCCAGCTGCCCGTTTTCTTGAGCTTGCTCCACATCCCTTTCTCAAGCAGCTTGGTCACAGATGTTGTACTGCATAACACTTGGGGGTTTGTCTTGAGTGTTAAACGAACCCGGAGATGACACGCTCATGGATGTTGCTGGAACGCGCAAAAACAGAGGAAGCCAAAGCGCAAAACCCTGCTGAGGCCCTCGTGTGTGGAATAGAGGCGGAAATCCATTGGATTTGTGCTCCATTCTACGGACTTTCCCACTATTGCGAAGCACTTTCTCTTCCTGTTTACTTCAGTTCCCATATATGTGTACACACGAGAGGCTTTATCCTTCCATTAGCCGAAGCGTGCTGCACGCGGGGCAGCTTCATTGCCTCTCGCATACACCGTTTTTGCGTGTGTGCGGTTCAGGATCTCTATCCTGTCTGCACAAGATGGCGCACATGGGCTTGATCGCACACTCGGGTTGGTTTACCAAGTCTGTGTGGGCCAGCATTTTCGGCGTCGTTGCTCTCGACAAATACGCCAGATGGTTAGCGCTCACCAACACTGTGAACACTCATTCAGAGCCCTGCGTTGCCTATGCGCTTCTTGCTTCTAAAGCTAATCTTCAAGCAAGTGCATAGGTTTTTCTTGTGTCATTGTCGTCCTTGTTGCCCTTTTCTTGGTGCCCTCTTGCATTTGAGCAACGCCCGCTACGTCATTTTAATTGCTCTTTCTCTTTGCAGCCATGCTGCTCTCCTTTAGTTCCAGAGTGGCGTGCGCCTTTCGAGTGTTTCTGTGGCTGTTTTCGCTTGGTCGTTGCAAGCCTCTGCTTGAAAGCCTTCTGCTATTTCCCGCCTCGTAGTGCTCTTCAGTCTGTTCGTGCCCAACGACCAAATCGTCATTGATGAGAACTTTTGGTCTTCGTATCCAGTATTGGGGGTCTCAAGTGCTACAGTCAGTATGTACACCCACCGATTCTTTCACTCTCATTTTCGCTGTGTTTCCTCACTCATTATGGCTAACTTGCAGGTGTTACGGCATCCCGGATTACCACAATTACAACTTAACCTGCTGGCCGTATGCGCTGGAGCGGGCTAACCTTAAGCGGTAAGTGGCAGTGCGGCGTCGCTTAAACCCAGCTGGTGTAGTGTAGTGAGCAGGAAGTTGTTTCTTTGAGCTCGTCTATTTGCTTTGCTGGAAGACTCTGCTGGTCCGCACCCTGCACGTGTACCGCGGTGTGAAGCCCACGTGGGAACAGCCAAAAGAAGTGTACGAGCGAGGGGCACCAAAAGAACACATGACATTGTTCCCTTCTGGCTGAACAGATGGGCAGTTGAACATAACAGGGCTGAAGCCACGCTGGGGTGCGTGCCGCGACATTTGTTCTCAGTCATGGCGTCGACCCAGACTCCGTCGACTTGGCACGCGAATCATGAAGAGCACGTAGTATTCGAATCGTGCGGCTGACCACAATGGGGGCCTACTAAAAGTGTCGTCAGTCTATTGCCCAGCTGCCTATTCATGAGGCAGGCGACCCCTGCTTGCTAAAGCACATTTATCCGAGAAACAGCTTCCGGTTCCGTAGTGCGCCCCCGCGGCGCATCGCCGCACCTCAAGCATAAAGCAACTATCTAGAATCACTACATCTCGACCCTGTATTACACTGGCGGCTGTATCGTGGTAATGCCGTCCGACCAGCGAACTGGCGAGTTCAACTTTTTTGGAACTGACCAAAGTGCTAGTAGGTCTGCCCTGACACCTCTACTTCGCTACGTCAGCACGCCACTGTACTCCCATCGCACATCCAGTACGCCCCAAGACAACTTCTCTTTTAAAATAGCGACAGAAAAAGCCACTTAAGGCATAGACACAATGATTGTTGCACCCTTGCGTCGGAGCCGGCAAAATCTTAAGTTGCTTCACGACCACCCGGCTCGAACTTCACCGCGATCGGGGCCTGAAGATCCCCTTAGCGCTAGCGTCCTAAAATGGCACCTCCATATTCACGACGAACACCACAAACATCAACGGGGAGCAGGCGGCTCCAGCAAAAGTACGCTATGGCTAAGACTGAAAAAGTGAGCCAAGAATAAATCCTGAGCAAAACTTAGGATTCGTCGACGCCAAAGCTACCAAGTGCATAACGAGAGATCGAAATCTCGAATGCCTGTAGAGGTACATTGCTTCACCTCTGGTCTGGAAACTCCAGTGGGTAACAATGATATGATCTCCTTTGCATTTCAACTTCGGTAGATGTCCCGCTAGCGTGCAACTTCAAGAGTAACACTTCCATGGTTTTTCTCAGGCTCAGCCCCGCATAAGCGAGTCAGGAATTCGAAATAAACGAAACCAGTAACCCAAGACTAGGAATATGGAAGCCTGCATCGAGGAGCAAAACTCAACCCGATCCATTTGTTGTAGGGCGCTGCTGTTTTCAAATATACACCATCTGGTTCCGAGGAGCCTTGGATGCTTGTAGACAGCAGACAGGTCGCAGCAGCGCCAAAGCGCGCATTTGAACCCAGCGCCCGCACGCTAGCGTACCTTTTAAAGACAACGCCTGTGAACTAGGAAGCATTCCCATCGCAACCGGCAATCAGATGGTGATGCATGGTATCCTTGAACATCGTCACTATTACTCGGACGAATGGGTGTTACAGGAAATTCTCATCAAGATGCCGGCTGCATACAGTAAAGGGGGCTCTTGCAGTTGCGCACAGTCATGGATACTCACTCAACTAAAAGCCTGCCACATGGGATACAGGAACATACACAGGGATATTAGGTGGCACAACACTAAAGATGGTGAAGTGATACTTCCATGGTTTTTCTCAGGCTCAGCCCCGCATAAGCGGGTCAGGATTCGAAATAAACGAAACCAGTAACCCAAGACTAGGAATATGGAAGCCTGCATCGAGGAGCAAAACTCAACCCGATCCATTTGTTGTAGGGCGCTGCTGTTTTCAAATATACACCATCTGGTTCCGAGGAGCCTTGGATGCTTGTAGACAGCAGACAGGTCGCAGCAGCGCCAAAGCGTGCATTTGAACCCAGCACCCAAAAACGAGAAGATGACTAAACACACAATAAGGGTGTTTTAAACACGTGGGCACCTAAACATATGGCAAGGAATGACACATTCTCTACAGGATGCATCTAGGACAACATAGTACGACACAAACCAGAGACGCCATAGAGCAGATGATACTTCCATGGTTTTTCTCAGGCTCAGCCCCGCATAAGCGAGTCAGGATTCGAAATAAACGAAACCAGTAACCCAAGACTAGGAATATGGAAGCCTGCATCGAGGAGCAAAACTCAACCCGATCCATTTGTTGTAGGGTGCTGCTGTTTTCAAATATACACCATCTGGTTCCGAGGAGGAGCCTTGGGTGCTTGTAGACAGCAGACGGGTCGCAGCAGCGCCAAAGCGCGCATTTGAACCCAGCACCCACGATAAACGTCGCCAAAAGTAATGGAAGTCCTCATTTAGCCGATATGCAGCAGAAAGTCGTGGGCACACTTAAAGTGTAAAGGCTTGATTGCGTTTAATTCGAAAGTTCGTAGTTTCCGGCAAAGCCTTTTCCTGCTACTAAGCGCGAAAGGTAGACAATATAGGGCATCGACGCCACACTGCAAGTATGCCAAAATGCAAACTTGCAGAAAGCTTCAATGCATCTGCATCTACCGCATTCACGAAACAGGGAAGCACCAACATTACGGAACACAATCTCGACCTAAGTCACGGGTCTGCGATACTAATGCTTGATTTGGCCTTGCCTCGCTGACGAAGCGGCATTCTTCTTGAGTATTCCATAAAACTTAGCCTTTTCCTCAGATGTTTGGAAGCGCCCATGACCCCACTTGGAAGACGTGTCGATGAATTTCAGATTGATGGTTTCAAGAGCCCTGCGCGAAGTACGCGGCACGAGAGTCTTCCTCAGAGTAATAGGCCTCTTCTTGCTCCCAACAATGCATCCCTTAATCATGATGAAGTCGTTCTTAACTTCGCCGTAATGTGGGAAACCACCCATGGGTGTGATCCTCTTCTCGGTGATATCAGCATCAGTGGAGCCATTGCGCGGGTCAGCGCCACTACCAATCCTGTAGACCTTCTTGTTCAGTTCTGTCCTGTGGAAGTAACCCTTCTGACCGTGGCGAGGCACCTGGAACTGCACACGGGCTGGATGCCAGGCACCAATGCAAGCGACCTTCCTCAGCCCTCTGTGCGTCTTGCGAGGCAGACGAGTTACCCCGAAACGAGACACAACGCCCTTTACTCCATGACCTTTTGTCACGCCGATCACGTCCAGCATTTCGTTCTGTTCGAAAACGGCGCTGACGGAAACCGGAGACTCGAACATTCTGGTCACGAAGTCGACCTGTGAAAAGGGGGATAGCAGAATTTTCCATGGCATAAGGTCAACACACATGAATTGCGAAGCACCGAGTTACAATAATGAAAAGGGACGGGCCGCGACACCACAGCTCAGTTTCACGATACAGCCAAGTCATCAGGCAGTTTACTCGATTAGAAATAGGAGCAGTAGTGAAAGACGCATATTCAAACATGACGATGCTCCCACCATATCCGCTAGGGGAGCATGAAGCATTTCAGAAGAAAACACGAGTTCCTTATTGTCATCGTCTGTAATTCCATGGGTTCGTTCAATATAAAAAGCATCCTCTAGAAACAAAGCCGATGAGGACTACGAAAGCTTAGAGGCTCCATCGACGGAAACAACGCTACAGTCTATCCACATGACATCAGAGCACGGCTTCGCCGGACCAAACGTTCGTCTACAACCCATGCCGGCTGCCCACCTTTTCACAAACGGATCCTCCATTCACTTGGATTTCCATGATGTGAGCCTTCTTGAGACCGACGGGAGTCTTGTTAGGCTGTGTGTGGCAGATGGCCCTGACAACTGAGCACCGTTTCTTGATCGTTGCAATCTCCTCGCACATTTTGTTGTTTTCAGGATAGCGTTTTGCATAACGGGTAAAGGCTTTCTTCTTGCTCTTGTACCAGTTCTTATAGAAGCGCCTCCTGCATTCCTCGGAGAGGTGAGCAGCCCAAACCGTTGAAAGAGCGCGCAGCCCGCGAGGCGTTTCGATATAGCCGACAACACCAACACACATCATTGGCGGAGTCTCGACGATGGTCACGGCCTCGACAACTTCCTTCTTGTGTAGCTCTGAACAAAAATAAACAATCGAAAACAACGGAATAAGAGAACAGGCGCGATAGGTATACAAGAACTACTGAGAGGCCAAGTTCAGAAAACAGATGACACTTCCATGGTTTTTCTCAGGCTCAGCCCCGCATAAGCGGGTCAGGATTCGAAATAAACGAAACCAGTAACCCAAGACTAGGAATATGGAAGCCTGCATCGAGGAGCAAAACTCAACCCGATCCATTTGTTGTAGGGCGCTGCTGTTTTCAAATATACACCATCTGGTTCCGAGGAGGAGCCTTGGGTGCTTGTAGACAGCAGACGGGTCGCAGCAGCGCAAAAGCGCGCATTTGAACCCAGCGCCCGGGTAAAAGGCACTAGTCCTGCAATGCAATTAAGTATTAGATCGGGAAATGGCTTACTAGATCCTGGGCGCTCAACCTCCCGAACAATGTGCGTCATGCCGGCCTTGTAGCCCATGAAGGCAGTAAGATGAGGAGGCTTGGAAGCGTCATCTTTGGGGAAAGCCTTTACTGAAGAGAAAAACAAGGGTCCATCACAGTACAAACGAATTTCTACCGCCGTATCCACGATGAGCAACATTCACCGGTACGATCGTGAGGGAAGGGCAACATCGCCAATTAGACTATCACTTCCTCCAAAGGTCAATTAATCCGCAACAGATCCTCAAATATTTTTAAATGGGCATTCACGTGGCATGCAAGGAGAAGGAAGAAAAAAGATCAGTTTCCGAGTTCCACATCTGCTGGCAATTTCCGCACCGCTGTCCAAGCTAACCGGAAATTCAGACCATTGCAGAAAAACTATGCATAAAAAGACCAAACGAAGCGCATACAAGGGCACAATAAATCACGATCCCGTGAAAAAATGGGACAATGTTGGTGTAAGCCTTACCCTTTCCCCTATGCCTGCGGCAGCGCTTCCGAGGAGCGAACCCCAGTGAGCCGTGGCGGGGGCGTTCAAACTTCCTGTGAGACATTTTGATGAACGGAGAATAATGACACACCGCAAAATGCCACAGCACTTCCCCCTTTGAACCGCAGAGGCAGCTGTTTTGGCATCAGTGGGGAGAGCGGGGAGGCTGCAAATGGCGGGGACCCCCACAGCCCCAATGCAACAATGGAAAAAGTGGCTGCATGCACCAATCGGTAGGAAAATGACACAGCCCGCTGTCTCAATGCGGTCAGTATTGTGCTCACTCCGTGCCTTCCTACAACTCCTTTCCAGGCGTTGTCTCGGGGAGGTCTTGGTAGCTTGTAGGTGAGCTGAACATGAGCTGGAAATTTGTCGGCTACTTTTTTTCCGGTTGTGACTTAAATGCCGCACAAACTGGTTGCTAATTTATACCCAGACAATTATGTTTCTAGCATATCTAAGCCTTTTTTCTGTGTGCTACTGAGCTTTGGAGGGGAGAGCATAGGCAACCTATTCCTGTAGTCTTCATCCCGGTCTCAGGCTGCTGCTGCGGGCTGAGCTACGCTTACACAGATTTTTCTGTGGTCATAACAATAAGTAAAGATTGAAAAGAATTGGGTAATTGATTATCTGGTCACCGTATCGATCAGAGAGTAGCGTTGGCTCCATTCAAGGAGACGGCATCCGGTGTGCGTGCGCGGCAAATGCGATGTGCATCTAGCTGTGAATGCAGGGAGCGTTTCAAGGGTGCAGCTATGAGTACCCTAGATTTCTCTTTGCCTTGATGTAAGGAGCACTGTAGGGCGTGGGCAAGGAAAGAAGAAAGCTCTTGAGGAACTTGCTCTAACTCTCAATCAAATAGTTTCTGTAAGGAGATACATACTTTGAGATACACTACAACCTTAGCACGAAATTCCGGAGTGGTTTTTCAAAAGGTGATCGTTCGTTCCATCCTTTTGGCTTCTTTTTATGGGGGTAGAAGGACTTTCGGGCGGCAAGTTGCCGCACCTTTTCAACATTCCAAGCATTCACATATAGTTGCATTTAGCATCTAGCGCCCCCACACACATTGTGTTTTCGTGTGCCGAGCTGACAGGACCATACAAAAAACAGGCTATGCCAACAGACAAACCAATAAGAAATTTTTCGTGACTCATAGTTCATTATGACCGATGTAGTGGAAGAAATGCCGAAGTGGAGCTTCCCCTCCGACATCTTCCCTTACTTTCGAAAAGCGCACCCTGCTGTTCCATAAGGTCAAGAGTAACTGCTGCACGACACGCAAAGAGTTCCTGTCCTATCGCCAATGTCCAGGCAGGCAGGAACGCTAAAATTTTGCGTAGGAGATATGCCAAGCTGTGCATCGAGCGCTATAGTTCGACGGGGAAAAGGCGCACACACACATTAGCCATCAACGAACAGGGGATCAAGCCGACACAACCGCGGTGGCGCAGTGACTCTCTTCCGTCCAAGCACTGGGACTTTTGTGTCTCCTGCTACGAGGGAACAGAAGTCAAGCAAGCTGCGCAGCGCAGGGGGAATCAAAATTCACACTAGTTCAGCCGTGACCACGCTCCTCATATAACAGTGTCTGCACGCAAATATAGCCGGCGCATGCAGCAGAGACTACTTTGAAAGCCCCATAAGTTGCATAAGGAAGAATGTAGACACAGCTTGCCTGAGTGTCCTTGCGCCGTAAGTCGTTGGTATAGAACACCGTCTAAATAAGAAGCGGCATTTTTCCAACAAAACCCATGATGAAGGAAGCTGTTTCAGGCAAATTGTAGGCGGGAGTACAAGTATTAAATGGACCTTAAAGCCTTCGTCTATGGCGACCAGCGTTCATGACCCCAGAGAGCCGCAAACCCACTCAGTGGCAACAGAGCCCGTAAATAGCCGTCCATTAGCCAATAAGGTTGACATTATCCTCCTGCTTACTAAAGCCTCCAATCTGGTGCATTCTCGGTGCTTAATATTCTCTGAATCCAACACTTTCCTCTTTCCCCACCGATCCTCCGCCTCCACACTGGTCATTTCCGTGCGTAGCGAAGTCCGCAACTACAGAGCTTTAAATCTTTTGTAGGAAATCATACAGTACATTCGCCTGCACAGGCCTGCTGCACTACAAAAGTCTTTGTTGCTGAGGGTGGCTGGTGATGCCGGACCTCCAGGTTTAGGCCCGAACTAGAAAGGGGCTCCCTCGTGTGGATCAGAGATGGTGAATAGCAAACAGTAAACGAATCTACTGTTGTCTTGAAAGCTCATCCAGCGCACGAAAGCAGCTACAGCCAAGCAGCTGCATTTTTGTAAGCACAGAGTCGCGCCTTAAAGAGTGCAGCTAGTGCGCTCTGAGTGCCCGTGTGCGTCAGGGCTGTCCACAGTTGTCATCTCATCGTTATTCAGGCACGCTAGAGCGCACTTACGAAGTTCCAATCCCAGATCATAATAATATCCTTAGGGGATTTCGGGAGCTTCTAGGAATGTGTTGAGAATGGGTGCACGACTTCCTGAGCTACGACAGGACTAGAGCAACCGATGAAACGCATATATTTTGCTGAGTCTGTCGGCCAAGCAATAGATTTTATCCTGTCTCTTGGCCTCGTGTAGTTCAAGAATAGCGTCTTTGGTCAGTCCAAATGCTCTTAGAAGCCGCAGAGCTTTGAAAAGTGCCATATTTAGGAGAGTTGGGCAGCTTTACTTGCTGACAAACTGGGCACCTTGGTGACTACTCTGCTGCACAGGAACGCATCCTAGGCTACCCGAAAGAGCGTGAGCAGTCTTCGGCCGTAATGTGAATACCACCCTGGCGTTTCGGAAACATAATTTCGTGATTTGGGCCGAAGAACAGTGCTGAAAGAAGTGGCGGTGTGCAAGTGACTGAGCTCCAGCTTTGTTTTAGGCCACAGCACGCTAGTACGAGTCGTGCTTCACCCTTTTGCCATTCTGGAAGTTGGGAGTAAATGCAGATGCATGTGTGTCAATTGTGTCAAGGGGACGCAGTGTTTTTAGCTTTAAATATATACACATAAAAGTGGTTGTGTTGAACAATAGAGGACCGCTCAGGCTGCTTGAGAGTGCATTGGCCAGCAAGTTGGTGGTGACCTTCAGAAGCTTCACTGTGAAGTTGTATACCAGGAGGCGCCCAAGCGACTGAGCCAGGCTAAAGCCATCAGAGTCCTGGAAGCTCTTTGAAAACGTCAGATAGGGGCAAAGGCCGGTTTGGACAGTAAAAGAATCCCAGAGAACAGAGATCGGCAGTTTCTCACGCCCCGAACACCGCATAGAGTTCCTTCTACGCACTGGATGCCGCTGCTCGGTTGCGGTAGAGCGGAGAAAAATGAAAAGTAGCAAGGTGATGCGTTGCAGAATCTGAGTCGTGTTGGGAGGGAATAACATTTACAGCTGCGTCAATGGCATCTGTTCGAAGAAATAAAACAAACCAGCGACCAGGCCGCGCTGCTTCCGGGTGGTTGTACGGTGGCAGAACGGCGTGGTGCGGCGTCAGCCTCGTTTCTCCAGGTCACAGACTGCACTTTTTAAAGCAGATGACAAAGAAAGCCAGCGCTTCAGGAAGGAACTGAATTTCGGTAAAATGACGAAGTCCATAGAACTCCACCGCGCAAAGGTTAGGCCTTGAAGGTTAACTTTGTACTAGTTCTGGCTCGATTCCTGCAGCCGATTTACGAAGCCCTAGATGCACAGCGGTCTAACATTAACAAGCTTTTGAATGTCTATACATTCGATGTTTGCCTCGAGGCAGCTGACGAGCACGTCGTAGGTGATTAGTGTGCTTGTAACGCTTTGTGTAAAGACCCAGACGTCATTCGTGTAGAGAGGATACTCACCCAGCGCTCCCTCATTGGCCCATTGAAACCCCTTAAACCTGTTGTTTACTTTGGCTGAAGGATTAAAAAGTCCAAGCAGCATACAGGTATACTCGAATTTGCGAGTGCGAATGTGGAACGCCATTTTGTGGCGTTTAATCGCAGTAAATCTGAATTCGTAAGAGGGCACCTTGGATTCCGAGTGAGAGATAAACTGTTTTGCATCTAGTTTGTTAAGAACGTCGCCAATGTGAGTCATCCGGGAGCTTCGCTGTAGAGTTAATTTGTTGAGGGGCTTCACTACGACGCACATGCGCCGTCTGTCGTCCTTCTGGCACCGCCACCGGGTTACGGCCTGAAGGCCCTGGTCGATTCATGCAGCTTGTTCTCCTTCCGCACATTAGTTGCCTGCCACTTAAGCTCTTCTCTATGCTGTGGGGGATGCCGATTTCATAGAGCATAGCTTGGACCTGACGTGGGGATCAGCTCAATACGGCGCGCTGGACTACCAGCAGTTGGCTGGGTGCTGGCAGCTCGTCTTTACTCAGTACATGCATGAACTCCTTAATATTTTTTGACTCTTACTATTGCTCAACAAACACTCAATTTGAGTACTAAGTAAAGAACCTGATGCAGAGTAAGACATGATGCATCCTCAGAACAGACATTTTACTGCTTTGCTGAGCCACCGTAAAAGACGCTTCCTCACCTTGTTGAGCACCAACTCCTACTTTGCTTACCATAAAGAAATGAGAGCTGCTTAAAAGATCAGCATGTGCAATTTCCTGACGCGTCCTGGCACATGGATTGCTACAATGCGCAGCAGTGAATGCATGAGCCTCTTTCGTTGGATTACCCATGACATACCTAGTACTACGCTTTGCTGCACGGGCCAAACTTCAAAGTCGTGGGCCATGGTTAGAGAGTTCGACTCTAATTTAGAGCGGCACCGACTGCCATAGCCTTGCCAGTATCCGAATTTCGTGACCAAACCCCAATGTAGGGACTGCGCTAAGGAGTGAACAAATAGCAGTTTTGCTCCATCCCGTCGAGTAAGAACCCCACTTCACATCCAGTTTCTAGTAGCTTTAGCAACTCTTGACCATCAACGTGAACTTAAATAAGCGCGGAACTCGGCCAGTCGAGCCCTCAAATGGTGCTCGATCCCCTGAAGATTCTTTCCTGTGCCCTAGCCTACGTGGGGAGATAACCGTTTACCTGGTTTGCCACCTTTGCTTCC